TGGCAAAAATGATAGCTTCATAGATAAGTAACTTGGTAATACAAAGCCTTTGGGCCTTCCTGCCACCCTTTGCTTTCTCTGGCAGTGTTCCTCCTCTCCTTCTCGCTGGTTTCCCTGCAGTCCGAGGCCACCCCCGATGCTAGCCTCATCTGTTCCTGGGGGCCCTTCTGCTTTGGAAGGGGGTTAGCACAGCAGCTGCTGGCTTGATTGTACTCTGTGTGAATTATTTCAAAATGGAAATTTAAATGGCTTTTTTTTTTTCTTTTTTTTTATTGAGCACGCGTCTTTTGAGACAGAGTCTTACTCGGTCACCCAGGCTGGAGTGCGGTGACGCCATCTCGGCTCACTGCAACTGCCGCCTCCCAGGTTCAAGTGATTCTCCTGCCTCGGCCTCAGAAGTATCTGGGACTATAGGCACACACCACCACGCCTAGCTAATTTTTTGTATTTTCAGTAGAGATGGGGCCAAAACGTGGCCATTTCGCCACGTTTGCCAGGCCAGTCACCAAATCCTGACCTCAGGTGATCCTCCTGCCTTGGCCACCCAACGTGCTGGGATTACAGGTGTGAGCTACCGCGCTTGGCCTGAATGGCCTATTCTTTTGATGTATTTGTTTGCATAAAGTGAATAATTTATTAGGAAAAAATGGGATGCTGTATTACAGACATGTGATATTATCTTTGCCCAAAGAGGCATAATTAGTGTGGTCCTAAATACGTTGTTTTCCTTTTGTTCTTTGAAGATGAAATATTTTATGAACAAGTTTTTTTTTTTTTTTTTTTTTTAAATTTCTTAATATTTTACAAGCTCAGTGAGTTGACAGAAAAGAAGAATAGTCCCAGCCACTCGAGAGGCTGAGGCGGGAGGATCCCTTGAGCCTAGGAGTTTGAGAACAGCCTGGACGACCTAGCAAGATCCTGGCTCTTTAAAAAAAGAAGCAGAAGATATGATTACAGATGATAAAACTTTATTTCCCCTAGATGAAATAACTTACTCTCTCAAGGAAAACACTAAACAGATTATGTACTAACTATGCCCTGTAAGGTTGTTCGTTCTATTTGTATATTACTTTAGATCTGGGAGATCACGTGCTAAAATCTCGATGGGTTTATAACATGATATGAGGAAACTGGGTACAAAGAGGTGAAGTGGGCCAGGTGCGGTGGCTCACACCTGTAATCCTAGCACTTTGGGAGGCCAAGGTGGGTGTATCACCTGAGGTCAAGAGTTTGAAACCAGTCTGGCCAACGTGGTGAAACCCCATGTCTACAAAAAATATGAAAATTAGCCAGGTGTGGTGGTGTGTCCCTGTAATCCCAGCTACTTGGGAGGCTGAGGCAGGAGAATCACTTGAACCTGGGAGGCAGAGGTTGCAGTGAGCCAAGATTGTGCCACTGCACTCCAGCCTGGGCCATAGAGCAAGACCCCATCTAAACAAACAAGCAAACACAGAGGTGAAGTGACTTGTCTGGGGAGGTGGCGGCCAAGCTGGTTAGCACTTGGAGAGTCTGGCTGCCCCTCTGGGCTCCCCACCTTGAACTCAGTTTCATGTGTGTGAACTACAACTGATTTTTGTGTCTTAATTTGCATAAGGAACTGGTGGGCTGGAGGAAGGTGAGGACAGGAACACTGCCTCCTGCAGTTTCATTCTAGTTGGGGGAAATTTATGCTTGACCACGAAATACATCCATGTCGTATCATTTTGGTAATCAAGAATCTTTCTGAAGAATACAGCTTTTTCAAAGTTTGTATCTCTTGTAACCATTTTTCTGCTACTAAAAGTGGTCTATTTTTTCATGTATTTAAGAATGTTTTAGCACTCAGACTATCTTTCTCTTTGTCAGGGATGTAAAGAATCATTTAAATTATGAACACAGAGTCTTTAATAGTGAAGAATTTCTCAAAACCAGGGCTGCAGGGGACCATCAGTTTTATAAGCAGGTGAGAGCTGTGGGATGTGGGTGTGCCTATGTGTGTTCAATCCATTATCCTTTTCTCTGTTTAAATACTTTTCAAAATAAATTTTCTCAAGTGTATCAGTTTTTCCAAAAAGTTTGTTTTAGCACGGTTCCTTTTGGTCATGTGACTCTCCCTCTTTTTTTAAAAAATCAGCTTTTTAAGAGTATAATTTACTTATGGCCAGGCACAGTGGCTCACGCCTGTAATCCCAGCACTTTGGGAGGTGAGGCGGGCAGATCACTTGAGGTCAGGAGTTTGAGACCAGACTGACCAACATAGTGAAACCCTGTCTCTACTAAAAATACAAAAATGAGCCAGGCGTGGTGGCGGTGCCTGTAATCCCAGCTACTCAGGAGACTGAGGCAGGAGAATTGCTTGAACCCGGGGAGTGGAGGTTGCAGTGATCCAAGATGGTGCCACTACACTCCAGCCTGGGTGACAGAGCAAGATTCTGTCTCAAAAAAAAAAAAAAAAAAAGTATAATTTACTTAAAATATGGCCATTTCAAGTGTGTGGTTTGATGGATTTTGACAAATGTACATATCTGTATCACCACTTCCTCAACCTGGACATAGAACATTCCCATGACCCCAGTCAGCCCCATCCCTCCCCAGGTCCCGGCAACTCTACCTGCGTGCGTCCCCGTAGACGGTCGGCCCGTCTCAGAGTCTCAGGCTGTGCAGTCGTACGGTCTGCGCTCTGTCTGCCTCTCTCCCTCAGCCTCCTGCCTCAGACCGAGCTGGGCTACTGTGTGTCTCAGCAGCAGCTCCTTTTTTTGCTAGGAATGTCCCGTGGTTGGGACAGAGTGCGCTTCGTTCTTCTGTCCACCTGCTACTGAGCATTGACTATTACAAAAAAATAATCACGTCGGGGGCTTTGCCCTGGCAGGCGATAGAAGCTGCCTGAAGAGTCCCTTGATCCTTTTGGGTTTTTTTTTTTTTTTACAGCTTTGGGGTAGGCCGAGAACAGCCCTTCTCTAGGGTTGGTTTATAACCTAGCCCATCTGCTAAGTGATGTGCCCCCGCCCCTCTCGTGTCTCCTGAATGGCTGGGGGTTAGCCAGGACCCTCCGCCCTGGCTGTTGGGAGCGTGACTGGCTCTCTGCCCTTGTGAGCTTGGAGAGTTTTGCTGACAGCTTCCCAGTCATTCTTTGGTTTGATACGGTTTCGCCCTATGCCTGGGCAGTGGGGTATTCAGCAAAGACTTAGGGAGACCCTGATGCAGGCTTCCTAATACAGGCTCCTAACACAGACCTGATACAGGCTCCCTGTATCATTCCCTCCTCTCCAGAGCCCTGCCCGAGGCTTCCAGCTGCCCCAGCCTCTGTGAGCTCCCTCCACGCCCTCAGTGCTGCAGCTGCACCAGCCACGAGCCTGCCTCTTGTCCAGTGTCTGAAAACAGTGGTTTCTCTTTTTTATCGAGTTTCCTCACAGTTTATGTCAAGAGGATATGTCTGAGCCTTGCCTAGTGCCTTACGGCCAGAAGCATGTGTCCACCTCTTTTAGCTATGATGAAATACGCTTTTGTTCACGGGGTGGGTATGTGGGCCTCGCTGTGTGAATGTATGGCCGCCATTTCTTCTCCTGTGTGAATGAGGAAGAACAGAAAACCCTCGAGTTGGTTCACTCAGTCAGTATCCACTGGGCATGAGTGGTAGTGCCCAGTTCTGTGCCAGGAGGCTCAGGGGCTTTGGAGCAGGGACCTGGGGAGTCGGCACAGCCCAGTGACCAGCCCTTCTGTCTTTTCCAGGTCTTAGACACCTACATGTTCCATTCTTTCCTTAAAGCCCGGCTCAATAGGAGGATGGACGCCTTTGCTCAGATGGACCTCGACACCCAGTCGGAGGAGGACAGGTGCTTCACTGTCGTGTTTTGGATCCACAGCTCTTTAGGGATCACAGTGTCCAAGGACCTCAGTTTTATTCAAATGAGTAAACGAGAAAGTCAACGGGAAATGCCTTGTGCTTAGAAACTCATGATGAACTGGACAACAGCTGGGAAGCTCTTCTCTCTACGCTTCTACCTCTTTTTTTTTTTTTGAGACAGAGTCTCGCTCTTGTTGCCCAGGCTGGGGTGCAGTGGCGCAATCTTAGCTCACTGCGACCTCTGCTTCCTGGTTTCAAGTGATTCTCCTGCCTCAGCTTCCTGAGTAGCTGGGATTACAGACACCCGCCATCATGCCCGGCTAATTTTTGTATTTTTGTAGAGATGGGGTTTCACCATGTTGGCCAGGCTGGTCTCGAACTCCTGACCTCAGGTGATCCACCCACCTCAGCCTCCCAAAGTGCTGGGATTACAGGCATGAGCCACCACTCCTGGCCTGTTTCTACTTCTTGAGGGAACGCTTGAAACGTGCCTGATGTTAGCGTGCTCCCCGTGGTTTGCGGCCCTGTGTCTTCCTTGGTCTCACTCTCTCCCATCTCCTTTCTCTCTTCCCACCTACCCCCATCCTCGAAGCCTGTTGTTTTCCATCTCTTCCTTGCTCTTTGCCTGAGCCCCCTCCAACATGCGTCCACGGCAGTCAGGGCTCCTGTTGGCTTATGCTGGTTTCTTCTGGGCTTGCGTCTGGGTCTCCCTGAGGCTGCACATGGTGAGATTTGGGCAACACGTTCTTACCAGTCTGTTTTCCACTGGTCTGTAAGAGTATCACATGCTCTTCGTTACACTGGGGAAAATGCTTAGTTTAGGCTTATTCTGCAGTCATTATTGTGTCTATAAAGTAAAGCGTTGCTTTTTCCTACCCCAGAATAAATGGAACGCTTGTAAGTCCAAGGAGACCGACTGTTGAGAAAATAGCGTCTCGGAAGTCCTCGCACCTGCAGGTCACCCACAGGCGCATGGTGGTCAGCATGCCCAACCTGCAGGACATTGCCATGCCTGAGCTGGCACCCAGGAACTCCTCGCTCCGGCTGACGGACACCGCAGGCTGTGCGGGCAGCAGCGCAGGTAAGGGCTGCCCCCCATCGTGGTGCTGTGTGTCAGTCACCGCATTCCTGCACTGCAAGTCGTTGAGCAAAACTGGAACTTGTTTCAGGGGAGAGGAGTGGGCTTGTTTTAGCAGCCGAGTTATTTGAAATGTTTAGAATATTCATTTTGCCAACTGTGTGCCTTCTAGAAAATTATTTCTTGTCTGTATTTTCTGCCACCCAGCGTCACTGCTAAAGGTAACAGAGGCTCTGCATGGTTCGGCATCCTTCACAAGCACAGGCTGTGTGTGTCTCTGTGTGTGTGGATTGCATGTGTATAAATACATATTTACACATACACACGTGTGATAGGAGGCGGGGGCGCCAGGCACTTTCTAGAGCCAGAGCTGTTGGAACTGGCATTCCAGGGCCAGGGCTAAAGTGAGCAGGGCCAGGGATGGGGAGGGGCTGTGACTGTGGTTGGGACATTTCTACAGAGACGGGATGCATGGAGAGGCTGAGCCCTGCCTGGCGCCTTCTCAGGGAGGTACATCCTGTCCCTAGTGGATGGGAGAAACTGTTGGGAGGCCGGGGCCTTGACCCCCGGAGCACCTGCAGCTGCTGTCTCAGGCCCAGGCAGCAAGCACCACGCGGCTCCTCCTGATCACTGTGCTCGGACCCCAGGAGCCGCATGAGCGACAGCTTGATGACCCCGAGGGCTATGGTCATCCTGCCTAGCAAGTACATCTTGGCTTCGACTATTAGCTTCATCCTCAAATAAAGCCTCAGTACCCGATACCTCAATAGTATTAGTAGTTGTAGCAAGTCAAATTGCTCAGTGAATGCTAGCTGCTGTTTTCCTGGGGGTACCATGGGAGCAAAGTGAGGGTTCTCTCATGCCTCCCAGGGCGGTGGGTGCGTGGAGCTTTCTGGAGGGACACACCCATTCTCATTTTATTTTGCATCCAGAGAAGCATCGTCCTTGACAAGATGATGTCACAGGGACACGTGTTCATTTGTAAGGGCTGTGCTAATGGTCTCCTTTTTCCCCTTAATGTTTTAGTTCTGAATGTGACGCCGAAGTCCCCATATACATTCAAGATTCCCGAAATCCACTTTCCGCTGGTGAGCGAGTGCGTGCAGGCGTACTATGCCGACTTTGTCACCCTGCTGAGCAAGGCCATGGACTTTCTGGCCCCTGATAACTCTCTGCTCCTGGCCCGCTACTTCTACCTCCGAGGGCTCGTTCATCTGATGCAAGGACAGCTGCTGAGCGCCCTCTTGGACTTCCAGAATCTCTATAAAACAGACATACGGATCTTTCCCGCTGATTTGGTGAAGAGGACGGTGGAATCCATGTCTGCCCCCGAGCGGGCGCAGGCGGAGCGGGCGCCGGAGCTGATGCGGCTCATCAGCGAGATCCTGGACAAGCCGCACGAGGCCTCGAAGCTGGACGACCACGTGAAGAACTTCAAGCTGCCCAAGGAGTACATGCAGCTGGACGACTTCATGAAGCGGGTCCAGGAGTCAGGGATCGTGAAGGACGCCAGCACCATCCAGCGGCTGTTCGAGGCCTTGACTGTAGGTAAGAGGACGCCTGGCACCATCACCGATTTTATTATTTAGAGACAGGGTCTGGCTCTGTCGCCTAGGCTGGAGTGGACTGGTGCAATCACAACTCACTGCAACCTCTACCTCCTGGGCTCAAGCAGTCCTCCCACCTCAGCCTTCCGAGTAACTGGGACTACAGGCACGTGACACCGAGCCCAGCTAATTTTAGTATTTTTTGTAGGGACAGGGTTTCAGTATGTTGCCCAGGCTGGTCTCGAACTCCTGGGCTCAAGTGATCCACCCACCTCGGCCTCCCTAAGTGCTGAGATTACAAGCATGAGCCACTGAGCCAGGCCCATATATTTTATTTTACTTCATTTATTTTTGAGACAGAGTCTTGTTCTGTCTCTCAGGCTGGAGTGCAATGGCACGATCTTGGCTCACTGCAGCCTCCACCTCCTGGGTTCAAGTGATTCTCCTGTCTTAGCCTCCCGAGTAGCTGGGATTATAGGCATGTGCCTCCACACCCAGCTAATTTTTGTATTTTTGTAGAGACAGGGTTTCACCATGTTGGCCAGGCTGGTCTCGAACTCCTGACCTCAAGATGATCCACCTGCCTTGGCCCCCCAAAGTGCTGGGATTACAGGCATGAGCCACCATGGCTGGTCCCATATATTTTAAATACTTAACGACAATGGTCAGGTAACAGCAGTGGTGAGGTAAGCCGCCAGCAGGTGACAGGCAAGACCGCTGCAGCACCGTGGTCTTTACTGTTGCTCTGGGCACTTACCTGGGAACGGGTGTGGTTGGCGGGGCCCTTAGGCAATGTGCCTGTCGCTGAGATCTTAAACACGTCTCCAGGCTGGGCTCTGAGTTGCGCTCTGTGTGGGTGGAAGGGACGTAGAATTGCTGATGGGAGATGAAGACGCTCCTTGCCTGGGAGAATTGCTCAGCATCTATACAGAACCATGGCCTCGGCTGAAATGCTGCAGACACATGCAAAAGCAGGGACATGGGACAAATGCCAGGGTCCTGTGACAAATGTCACGGTCCTGCGCCCAGACTGACACCTGCTGCGTTTGCCATGGAGTGCAGTGGGCTTGTGCTTAGACCCAGTGCGGGCCCCGTGCGCCTCTGTCCCTCCCTCCCCAGAGGGAGCCATTGTCCCAAGCTGGAGCTCTTTTATCTGGCCATGTTTTTATGCATTTACTACAAACGGATGAAGCTGACACAGGACCTAGGTTTTGTGAGTTTAAACACAAAAGCGGGAGAATGGGAATTGTCCCACCGTATGTCTGAGTTTGCACGTGCTGTTCACTCATGGTGTTTTTGAGACGTATCTGTGTCGCTCCACATCTGCTGGGTTCATTCACTTCAACCACTGCCTGTGCTGTAGTGTGTGGGCACCTTTTGTCCACCTGTTTCACCATCGGTGGTGTCGCACCTGTTTCCTGGAGTATGTGTGGGTCAGTCCCTCTCAGATGTGTACCCAGGGCCTGCTTTGAGATGTGAGAACCATCGTTTGGGCTTGGCGAGGGCTGCGCTTCCATCCTCCCAGGCAGCACACATTCCTCGGTCTCGACTCTCACCCGTTGTGAGTGTGCAAGGATGCCACACTGACGTCGCAAACAGCACACGTGCTCGGGAGCAGCTCTGGTTTCTTTTCTGTGAGCTGTGTTGCCATGATCTTTGCCCATTTTTATCTTGGGCTGCTTTTCCTTTCCTTACGGATGTGTAGGGATCTTCAGGCCCTCGGGAGAAGCTGTCCTGGTGACAGAGGCCTGGCAGGTCGCTCTTCCGGCTGTGAACAGGTGCTGCGGAATGCAGTTTCCTTGCTTATCTTGCCTGTGGCCTCTGAGGGATGTCATGGCCGAGTGTGTATGTGTATATATGAATGTGTGTGGGTGTGAAAATGTGTGTATGTGTGTATATGTGTGTGAGAGCCTGCGTGTGTGTGTGCACGCGCTGTACCTCTCCCTGTGTGGTGAAGCCATCAGATCGTGCGCTCACCGGTCCCAGTTGTTGAGTCCAATGAGGATGAGCTCAGATGCTCTGTGGTCACTTCCCGTGCTGTGCTTTGGGGACACTGCGATGAGGCACCAGCCAAGCAGGGCAGGGTGGGACCCACTTCCGTCGAGCTCCTGTGGATGGTGAGCACCACCCAGCAGCCACCTGTGGGGCAGGGCAGGGGCTGAATCCCACTGGGGGTGCCTGTCTCTCATGTGACAGGAGTCCAGGGCATGCATGGCAGCTCCTCAGTGTCATCTCGGGCCAGCTCCTTCTGTCACTCCTCTGTGGCCTGGAGCAGCCTGCTGTCTCCCGGTCACGAGCCAGCCGTGGGCATTAGCACCACAAGAGCAGGGTCCGTCCACCTTTTAAGGCACCGCCACCCCTGCCACACAGTGACTTCTGTTTCCTCTCATTGGGCAGAATCGTGTCATGTGGCCGCCCAGTTGCAAGGGAGCCCGGGAAGGGGGTTTGCAGTGGGGTGTGTGGGCCCTGTCCAGCAGACCTGGCTGGTTGGGATAATGCCATCAGTGGCCCTGTTGTCACTTTGGCCTTGCTTATGTTGCCGATTAGGTTAGGAAATGGTCTTGATTCTGGGATATGTGAGCCTGAAGTTACCAGTGTAAAGCAGCACCTAATATATGTTTGGCCAAATGGGCATTTGTTAAAAAAAAGTTTGGTCAGAGCTCAGTGTCACCATCTTTGGACGAATTTATGTGATACAAGAATACATCAGAGATTTTATTCAAAAAAAGTATTGCAATTTCATCATTACATACTTTAATGGCAAAATATGCTATTAACAGCGCAAGGCCAATATGCTCCCTGTTGCAGCTGCCCATGAGGTGGCCCTCCCCAGGGACGCTGACGTGTCTGCCGCCTCCAGCGTGGCCGTGCGGAAGCAAGACATCCACGGACAGCTCCATTGGTGACGTCGCCTGCACGCCACCGAGCTGAGCAGGAACAGTTGTATTGGAGGCGTGTGGGTGACGAGAGCAAGGTTAACAGCTGGTGTTTGTGTGGAACTGGAGTCAAATGAGGACTGGGCACTGTGCCCACGTGGGCCTGTGCAACAAGCGCATGCATGGCAGCTGCTGTGGATCGCACAGGCTCCTGAGAGTGCCTGGTGTCCAGAGGTGTGCACAGTGGCTGTGGGTTTGCATAGTAGCCATGGGTGTGCACAGTAGTGGGTGTGCACAGTGGCTGCGGGTGTGCATGGTGTCTGTGGGTGTGCATAGTGGTGGGTGTATTGCACAGTGGGTGTGCACAGTGGCCGTGGGTGTGCATGATAGTGGACATGCACAGTCTGGGTGTGCACAGTGGTCAGTGTGCATAATGGGTGTGCACAGTGGCCATGGGTATGCATGGTGCTGGTGGGGTGTGTGTGCAGTGTCTGTGGGTGTGCACTGTGGTAGGTGTGCACAGTGTCTGGTGTGCACAGTGGCTGCACTTTGGTAGGTATGCACAGTGTCTGGGTGTGCATAACGGTGTCTGTGGGTGTGCATGGTGCCTGTGGGTGAGCATAGTGGTGGGCGTGCTGCATAGTATGGGTGTGTGCCACGGTGGTGGGTGTGCACGGTGGTGGGCATGCACGGTGGGTGTGCACAGTGTCTATGGGTGAGCATAGTCGTTGGCGTGCTGCACTGTGGGTTTGTGCAGTGAGGGTGGGTGTGCACAGTGGTGGGCGTGCACAGTGTCTGTGGGTGTGCACTGGGGTAGGTGTGCACAGTGGATGTGCACAGTGGCGGTTGGTGTGCACCGTGCCTGTGGGTATGCGTGGTGGTGGGTGTGCACAGTGACCTTGGGCATGCACTGTCTTGTTCTGCTGCAGTGCTGGTGGCGTGGTGTCCACAGCTGGCTGAGCACTGGCGGCAGCTGCGGTGAGTGTTGCTTCTTGCCTGATGGGACTTTGGTCTTGCTGCTCCTCCCATGGTTGGGGTTTTCTAGAGCCCTGAGTGCCCTCACCCTGAGGTCAGCACTGTTGTCTGTGAGAAGAAGCTGTGTCAGGCTCTGGTGACACTCACTTCACCCTGCCCAGCCCCAGTAACTGCTGTGGACCAGGTAGCTAGAAGATTTGCCCTGAGTGGTGCAAGGGCCAGGACCCGTGGCTGGGGCTCCACACTCAGGGTGTCTGGCTCCTTCATTAGGTGATGGCTTTGCCCATTCATTCTCACTCACTCTCCTTTTCCTGTTTTTTGGGCCTCTCCTCGCCTGGCCACCTGACCAAAAGATTGTTTTATGTGATGTGATTCACATAACAAGTGCTTCTGCCTTAAACCCAGAGTCTGTGCCTTGGCTTATGCCTGTGATCCTAACATTTTGAGAGGCCAAGGCTAGAGGATGGCTTGAGCCCAGGAATTTGAGGCTGCAGTGAGCTACGACCACACCACTGCACTCCCGCCTGGGTGACAGAGCAAGACCCTGTCTCTAAATTTTTTAAAAAAGAAAATGAAATACATAAAATAAAATAAAAACTAAAATAAATCCAGCAACTCAGAACCCTTGGGAAGTATAGGCTGAGGCGCCTCAGGCCGAGGCGGAGGCGGCTGCGTTGAATGGTATTTCTGAAACAGAAGAGGGACTCTGGCAAACAGTCTTAGGTGTGGAGTCGGGAGAGGACCTACATGTTCCTTGCAACCTCACAGATGACCTTACTGCCCAGCACAGGGGCTGCAGCGACCTGGCCCGACAGGCCTCGCCCACCGGGCCACAGAACCCTCCTTTGTCTTCTTCTGTGACTTCTTTGGAACAATCACCCTGCACCTAGAGAGACCCTTACTGGTGCATATTTCTCTTCTGTTTGGATCTGGCGACTAGAAAATACAGACAGGCAAAAAGAAGAGTTCATTGGGAATCCCGCCACCTGGTGGAGATTTTCGCATAACCGCCTGGCGCCTGCGCCGCCATGTGCTGAAGCCTGCCTTCCTGCTCAGCTCACCCTGCAGGGCCCCCAGTGCCTGTGACTCCGAAGTGAGACTAAGAGTCCTCCTGAGCGGTGGCTCAAGCCTGTAATCCCAGCACTTTGGGAGGCCGAGACGGGAGGATCACGAGGTCAGGAGATCGAGACCATCCTGGCTAACACGGTGAAACCCCGTCTCTACTAAAAAAATACAAAAAACTAGCCGGGCGCGGTGGCGGACGCCTGTAGTCCCAGCTACTAGGGAGGCTGAGGCAAGAGAATGGCATGAACCTGGGAGGCGGAGCTTGCAGTGAGCTGAGACCGCGCCACTGGACTCCAGCCTGGGTGACAGAGCGAGACTCCGTCTCAAAAAAAAAAAAAAAAAAAAAAATTCCTCCTGAGCCTGTGACAGCACTGACTTTCTTCCCGTGGCGTTCCTCTTTAAGTTGCTGCCGTGACAACTCAGTTGTCCCGGACTCAGCTGTGGCCATGATAGCAGATTCCCTAGACAGGCGTCGCTGTTGACGCTTCAGTATGGAATCAGAGCAGGGGCGTGGCAGAGCTGGACCACTAGCCACGTCTTCTGGTTTCAGACTCGGGATCTGAGGATCTGGGGTCACAGGTACTCCCCTTTCAAGTAGCGACCAGCAGGAAGGCATACCCCAGCTCTGGGCAGACCGTCTGCCAGGCCTCACAGCCCAGGTGTGCTGGCAAAGGGCTTTCCTCTCCGTGTCTCAGTTTCCCCTTGTGAATGAGCCACCTCATTCACAAGGTGGCTGTAAGTAGGACCCCATATTGAGTGAATTGTGATTCTTGGCGTATAGCAAGTATTGCTGGACACAGCAGTGCCGTAAGGGAAGCGTGTGTGCAGCTCAGCAGTGGCCTGGCCAGGATGTCTCTTTCTTATCAGGGAAGGCTGTGCATGGGCACGTCTACCCAGATGTTGAGGGATGGGTAGGAGTTTCCTGGTGTGAGCAGGCAGGATGAGTGTGTGTGTGTGTGTGTGTGTGTGTGTGTGTAACAGCACGACCTGTTTGGGAGCATGCGTGGTACGGCTGGGCTGTGGGGTGGGTAGGTGGGGCCCAATCTTGGAGGAATGTGGCAGTGGTGTATAGAAGCAGCCCTGAGTGTTGACAACGGGAGCGGGAGCTCCTCCTTGCATCTTAGAAAAGTGGCTCTGAGTGCCGAGCGAAGCAGGCTGTGAATGGGGCTGGCTCTGAAGGCAGGAGCCACTGAGGAGGGGTTTCCTGTGCAGAATTGAGGGGGACTTGCCGCACGTCAGGGGATGGAGAGAGGGACAGACAGGCTTGGGACACAGGGTGGAGGCAGAGCCGAGCAGGCAGGCTAGGGGCTTGAGTTGGCAGGACCTGCCGGCAGGGACTTGGGATTTCCAAGGGGTCGTCCCATCTCCAGCTGACAGATAAGCAGGTTCGTTCCACGACTTGCCAGGAGTCTCTGTGAACAGCCATGAAGCGTGCCTCAGGCTCAGGCCCCTCTGACTCCAGAGCCCGTGCGTGCTGGCCTCGCGGGAAGGTGACCGCTTCTCATCAGCGGAGATGATTTCAGTTGCAAACAACAAAAGTTAATGATTTGCTTGTAACGAAAAAGTGTGGAGGTCAGGCCAGTTTCAGGCGAGGCGGACTCAGTGGCAGGGCAGTGTCGCTAAGGATCCAACCTTCCCGGCATTAGCTTCATCCTAGCACTAGCTCCCCTTGTGACCCCGAGACAGTGGCCACCAGTTCTAGTGATGAGGAAGGTCTTTGTCACCATTAGAAGAGTGTCCTTGTCCCGAAGGACTTTCCTACCCAAAGGTAAGAGTTGCTGTGACTACCTGAAGCAGGTCCCATGGCCGTCCCAGAGCGGGGGGCTGGAACGGGCTGCGGGCTCAGCCTAGATCGTGTGCCCCTCCCTTGACAGGTGGACACACCTGGGCTGCCCGGGAAGGCCCCGGAAAACCTTCTAGGCCATTTCCATCCAGCGCCCAGTGCTGGCGCCACCTGCTGCCGGGTTCCGGTAGTGCGTGGTTTCTTCAGGTCACGCAGAGGCCCTTGCGGCTCCGGATGTACGTGCCTGTAAGATACCTCTCTTTTCTTCTTATAAAACTAAGGACAGCAGAAACAAATCGACCCAGAAACATTCAAAGATTTCTACAACTGCTGGAAGGAGACAGAAGCAGAAGCCCAGGAGGTCAGTCTGCCGTGGCTGGTGATGGAACACCTGGATAAAAACGAGTGTGTGTATAAGTTGTCCAGCTCCATCAGGACGAACCTAGGCGTTGGCAAGATCGCCATGACCCAGAAGCGTCTGTTCCTCCTAACCGAAGGAAGGCCAGGCTACGTGGAGATTTCCACCTTCAGAAATATAGAGGTAAGGGCAGCACGGGCAGGCGGCGCCGGACCCCACCTGTGTTTAGGAGGCAGATGGCTGGAGTGGGCCCTGAGCTCTCTGCCAGCCATGCCATGTACCAGCCGCAGGCCTTCTGCAGACCCCTTGGCTTCCTGTCCCTCAGTCTGCTCATCCGTAAAGCAGGAATAAGGCTGATGCCTTCTCAGTGGGTGGTGGGGATTGAATCGTTTACGTACGGAGCAGGCTTAGAATGGTAACTGCTTTTCTAACACAAGTGACTTGCATCTGGGAGGCAGGAAGCAAGAAGCAGTGTGGGCTGACATTCTCATTAGGGACAGTAGGATGCGTTCGTTCATCCATGAGATGTCTACTGAGAAACTGCCATGTGCCGGCCACAGTGAGCCACAGTAGCTCACATTTTCTAGTCACAGTCAGACCTGGTTCATGTAAAACATAACAAGTTTATTTTATAACAATTAAAAAATCTTCGAACAGTTTTAGCATCATATGTTAACGGTAGTCATTTTCCCTGTCGAGGAAATCTGAATTTCATCCTGATTCATCTTACGCCTTATAGTTGCTTTCCCAGATTTAAGGGGACTATAAGAGGCACGTCAGATACTCAAGTGTTTTATGTGATCACCTGCTGAGTGGTCATAGAAGCCGGAAGGGCAGTCAAGCCACAGTCGCAGCCCATAGGAAATGCTCGGCCAGTAGATCCACCTCTTGCTGTTGGCCTTCAGTGTATTCTTTTCTCCACACCTGCTTTGCCAGACTTCCTTCTAGAATTCCAAAGAAAGGTAAATAAGTACCAAGAAAGGGAGATGGAAGTAAGAAAAAAAAAAGCGGGAGAGAGACGTATTTCAGGATGTGAAAGAATGCGCCGCCTTCAGACACTGGGCGAGCCCAGCTGTGTGGGTGCGTGTAGGTGCTGCACCCCGGCGAATCCCACCTGCCGTCCACGGGAATACTGCCCCTCGCCCTGGGCCCTGCCTTCCGCGTGCCAGCAGGGTGCGTGCCTGCAACCCATCTGCCTCTTCGTTCCAGAGCCCGCTCTGCCGCTGTCTCTGGTTAATCGACGTGTTCTCTGAGTGTGACCTTCCTAACTCTTTCTTTTCTGCCTCTGCAGGAGGTCAGGAGCACCTCTACTGCATTTCTACTTAGGAGAATACCCGCTCTAAAAATCAAAGTGGCGTCCAAGAAAGAAGTCTTCGAAGCCAACCTGAAAACTGAGTGTGACCTTTGGCACCTGATGGTGAAGGAAATGTGGGCTGGGAAGAAGCTGGCCGATGACCACAAGGTGGGAGACGCGGGTCCCCTCTGCCCTTTGCTGTGGCTGCCTCGGGAGGCCTCTCACCACCTGTGGGTCCTGTGGCGGTCCTCAGCTGTGAGTGCTCGGGGTCAGGTCTAGGTCTCCTAAGCAGAGTGAGTTTGTCGGGCACCATCTTGACAGAAGCATTTGAAGATGTTGTGGTCTGTGTGGCCCAGCGAGAGGCCTCCTGGCGCTAGGGAAGGGCATGATGAGAAGACGCAGGGCGGTCTGGGCAGGTGTGGGTGCTCCACTGCCTGCTGCGGGCTGGCGACGTCCCAGAGAGTGGAGCTAAGGGCTGGACGGTGCTGGTGCTTCCACACCCGCAGGCCGGAGTTGGGGGTTTTGGGCTCCCCTGCTCTGAGCGACTCTTCACGGTCACAGGATTTGGAATCTGGCAGGGACAGTGCTGCTTTCCTTCCACAGGGTTAAGATGATTTTCTAGGGATTGTTGTACCTTGATTTACTTTGGGCTAAATTGATAGCTTTGATGATATCAAATGACAATTGCACCATAATGAAGGGAACCATGGGCAGGTGGTGTGTAGGGGAGGCATCCACGCTGCTCAAGGGCGGGACAAGACAGGAAGACACCTTAGCAAATGGGCAAAGACCATGAACGTGGAACTCATAGAAAGGGAACCGCTCACCAGGTTATGAAGAGGTGCATAGCCCCACCAATCCTCAGAGAAATGCCAGGGACGATGGCACCCACCGCAGTGGCAGTGCTAGGAGAAACAATGGGGCCACAGCAGGAGGGCTGCTGTTAGAACAGGAAGTTCGCGGTCACAGGGCGGAGGGTGACTGGGTCCTGTCTAAGATCCCAGTGCCCTGTGGCTTTTGGACTAGCCATCTGATGCTGTACCCACTGCTTTACAGAGCATACACCAGCAGAGTCCAACCAAAGCCCGTGGGCCTGTGGACTGTCTTTGTAAGTAAAGTTTTACTGGAACACAGTCCTGCCTGCTTGTTTATGAAATGTCCCCGGGTGCTCCCGTGCCGCAGTGGCAGGCAGCGGGTGATCTCAGCTGAGACTGGCCACAAAGCTTGAAATGCCTCCTGCCTAGCCCCTTCTAGAAAACACTGGCCGAGCCCTGGTATGAACAATCCATATTTGTCTTAACTAACAGAAAAAATATATGACATAAGATCCAAATTCATCGGTGATTTAAACTCTTCATGTCACTTTGAAAAAACGCATTTCAGAAGGATTGTTCTGTGTGAGGAGACAAGGTCTCCAGTGAACTGACCTTAGCGATTCTTGCTGTTTTGAAAGGCACGTGTTTCTGTTCTAGGACCCTCAGTACGTCCAGCAGGCGCTGACCCACGTCTTGCTGATGGACGCCGTCGTGGGCACGCTGCAGTCACCAGGTGCCATCTACGCTGCCTCCAAGTTATCCTACTTCGATAAGATGAGGAAAGAAGGTAAGATATGCTCGTTCTTAGCGTGGATCATTGTCCTGATTATACATCTTAAGTGATTTTATCTGGTCGATGTCTGTTTTATCAAGTAGAACCGAGCCCAGATCTCCCGGTTTTTTCTTTTATATTTGTAATTTACTTTCGAGTCGCACACCTTGTCCAGCATCTTTCCTTCCTTCACTGCACAGTGCACCTTGGAGCCCCTTGCTCATGCGTCCGATTGAGGCACCTCGTCGTTTGTGTGTCTGGATAGCATTCCAGAGTACGCTGCAAGCATTTGTGGTGATTCTTAGTTGCAAACAGCAGCCTTTCCTCTGGCTGGCGGAAGCACAGTGGAAACCTGTGGGAGGCTGTGGAGCGGCTCCTGGAATCTCTGACTGGCGGGGAGCACGTGTCTGGGGCTTGCAGTTAGGAACGCACCTGCTGAGAAGCTGGGCACCTCTGCACAGCTGGCCTGTTGACTGATGGGCTTCGCCGCTGCGTGGGTGAGGAGAGGCCCTGCACGTCAGGATCCGCTGTTTTCTTGATTGGGTCAGCTGTCCCAGACAGGAACCCTCTGGCCATCCTGTAGATGTGGATCTGGCTCTTGCATTCTGGAAGCCACAGGGGCTGCTGCTGGACTCCCATTTCCTTCTCGTGAAGGTCTTCAAGCCGAGGGGTTTCTGGTCTTTTTGTGACTGAGTGATAGACATTGTTCGGGTGAAGGACGTTTGGTCTGTCCCTTCATCAGTGAGTGAGCGCTGGCGTGGTCTCTGCGTTGTGGCTGCTGTGGTCATTCATGTGCAAGCTCTGGTGTGCACACCTGTTTTCATTTCCCTTGGGCATAGATCTAGGGGACTCTGGCTTTTTAAAACATCCCAGAATTAGGAACAAACCTCACTTACATGTTTATTCGCTTGGGTACAGTTTGCTCTCTTTGTGGCGTCTGTCACCAACTGCACGACCTCTGCCACTTTCTGGGCACAGAATCCCTCTCCCACGTGACCCGGGGGACCTTGAGCTGCAGCAGCAGCCAGGCCCAGGTGCTTGTGTTCCTGCAAGGCCGGCCGAGTGGCCTGAAGGAGCTTTTGTCCAGCAGTCCTGGAACCAGACATTGATTGCTATTTTTTTTCTCTTGGGAACAAAATCAAACAACCGCCCTACTTCAGCGGTTGATCTCATTCCAAACTCATGACTAATCTCTGTCGGGCGTTTACAGGAAAACCTTCTAATGCCTCTGCTAGCAGCGCATGACGGCAGAGGGGGGCTGCCACACTGGTGTCACTCGGTGCGGTGCGCTGGCTCCCGCGCCCTCCTCACAAATCCGAAAACATTTTCCCATGGGTAAAGCTCATGACACATGAGCCTGAGCTTAATTTAGTAGCTTATGGGCAAGTCATGATGGAAGGTCTCCGACTGTACGGAATTAAATAATAACCGAAGGTGTCATAATCCAAGGCAGGAGCTGAAGAGGCGTTGGCCGCGGCCAGCTGGCTTTCACTGCAGCCCGGTGGAGCCCGTCAGCCTTGTGCGGAGTCCTGCTCAACCCCCTGCTGACAGTGCGATCCTCAGTCGATCACGGATGTTGATGTGTGTCGGGTTCTTCATCTTTCTTTTCTCAAAATGGGGATAACGGGACCAGTCTCTCAGGTGGTCGTGAGAGTAACAAAATGATGGAAGAGAAGCACTTAAGGGGCAGGCCCTGGACGGCGGGGACTGAGGAAGTCCTTGATGCAGGAGGCCGAGGCGCCCGCAGGGGATGGCAGGAGAGGCCGCAGAGCAGGCTGGCCCCAGGGACCTCCAGGCGGGAGGCCGCTTTAGGTTTTGCCTGGAAACGTGGGTTGGATTGGATAGCAAGAGGAGCGTTAGGATATCCTGAGGAGCAGTGGTTTTGAACAGGGGCGACGTTGCACCCCTCCCTGCGGACAGGCATTTGGCAGCGCCTGGAGATATCTGTGGTTGTGTGTGAGATGCTACTGGCATCTTATGATGCTCAACATCCCACGGCACACAGGATGCCGGGCATTCGCCCACAGCCAGAATTATCCAGCCCCACGTGCCCCTGGTTCTAGGTTGGGAAACTGCGCTCATGGGTTAGGTCTCTGGGTTTCATCTTGGGAAGCCTTTGTTACTGAGGAGAATGTTACGTTTCCGCTTTGCTGGGCATTGTGTCATGTTTGGGTGTAGGAAGCAGATGGGATGGCTCAGGAGCAGAGAAGAAGGCTGCGATTAAACAAAGGCAGCTCAAGGCATAGGGGCGTGGAGGCGTGGTGTGGACACAGGTGGGGGATGCGCCTGGCCACTCACTCGCACACCAGGTGACAACCAGGAAAGGAGGCCGAGAGTGCGTGACTTTCTTTCAGCGCCCCGGGTCCAAGAGAGTTTTGTCTTCACAAATTAGGAAGTTTTACCTGCAAGCTGATACTCTGCAGAAATCAGAGTGCGTGAGGCTGTTGCGTCGCGTCCATCTCCTCGAGGCCGTGACAGTAACACTCCAAGTGTCTTGTGTTTCAGTGCCCATGGCACTTCCGAAGACAACCGTGGAAACACTGAAGCATAAAATCAACCCCTCGGCAGGGGAGACGTTCCCACAAGCGGTGGACGCGCTGCTCTACACTCCGGGTAAGGCCCCTCTGCCCGCTCCTCGCTGCCAGTTTTCAGACAACCTGACACGCTCAGGTTGGGTTCAGGGTCAGCCCCGAAGTGAAAGGGGAGCCAGTGTCACAGAGTAAGTGGGGACAAGGTGCCTGTTGCTTTCTGAGGTGAAGTGCTGAGTGACAGGTGTGCAGCTGGTCCAACCGCTCTGTGGACTTGGCCTCACGGTGACTGGAGCCTGAGAGCCCACTGTTGATGGAAATGGCACCAGCACTTGAGCTCCCGCCCCAGGGCTGCCGTCCCTCACCTTCTAGAGCAGTGGACGGTCACACTAGCTCTTTCTGTTTTTGAGACGGAGTCTTGCTGTGTCACCCAGGCTGGAGTGCAATGGTGCAATCTCGGCTCACTGCAACCTTCAACTCCTGGATTCAAGTGATTCTCCTGCCTCAGCCTCCCGAGTAGCTGGGACTCCAGGCGCCCGCCACCATGCCCGGCTAACACACTGGCACTTTCTAAAGCACTCTCGCTCACACTGTTTCCCCAGAAGCTCTTAATCGGATCCTTTTGTCACTGTGATAAGGTGATGACGCCTCAGATGTTTGTTGTCATAGCAACTGGAATGACAAGGAGCCTGTGCAGCCCTAAGTGCCTGCCAGTCCCTCTTCTCCGATGGGTGCGGCTGCACCTGCACCTGCCTACTGTGCTTGACTTTCCTGGGACCCTGCATGCCGCATCAGAGTGGTGGCAGGAGAAGGAAATGGGCGCGGCCAAGGGTCTTGGTATAAACAAAGATGGCTGTCATGTTGCACGTTTAAACTGTGGAAAACAGTTTTATTTAATTCTGGCTTATGGAGAATGCAGCAGGGAAGCTTATGTTGAGGGTTCATGGTGTGGGATAACAAAGGAATACAGTTCTAGGCAGAAAAGATTTTTATTTTTTATTTTTTGTTTTGTTTTGTTTTGTTTGAGGCGGAGTCTCGCTCTGTCGCCCAGGCTGGAGTGCAGGGGCCAGATCTTGGCTCACTGCAAGCTCCGCCTCCTGGGTTTATGCCATTCTCCTGCCTCAGCCTCCCCCGAGTAGCTGGGACTACAGGTGCCTGCCATCACGCCCAGCTAGTTTTGTTTGTTTGTTTATTTTTTAATAGAGACGGGGTTTCACCATGTTAGCCAGGATGGTCTTGATCTCCTGACCTCGTGATCCGCCCATCTCGGCCTCCCAAAGTGCTGGGATTACAGGCTTGAGCCACCGTGCCCGGCTATGTTTTTTATTTTTTTGAGTCAGGGTCTTGCTCTGTTGCCCAGGCTGGAGTGTAGTTGTGCAATCACAGCTCATTGCAGCCTCGACCTCCTGGGTTCAAGTGATCCTCTTGCCTCAGCCTCCTAGGTAGCTGGGAACCCAGGCTTGTGCCACCAAACCCAGGCATGTGCCACCAAAACCAGGTGATTTAAAAAAATTACGGGTTTTTAAAAAAAGGACGGGGTTTCGCCGTGTTGCCTAGGTTGATCTCGAACTCCTGGGCTCAAGCGATATCTCTCCGCCTTGACATCACAAGGCGCTGGGATTACGGATGTGAGCCACTGCACTCAGCCCAGAAGGGATTTTTAAAATCGTCACTTTGTTGCATCTGCGTCTGCAGGTGTCAGCCGTAGGCGTCACCGCTTCTCACAGGCCGTGTCTGCGGCTTCACAGAGCACCTGGCTGTTCACACACAGAGCTCATGCTTCAGGTGGGCAGAGAAGCTGTGTGTGAAGCGATTTCCCCATAAGAGAGTTTTTCTCTCTTCACGGGATGCCAAGAAACCCAAGAACGCCATAGACCCTGTCTGAGCAAGCAGGCAGCATCATCAGGGCCGCCCCGCGTGAGGCCGACCCGACGTGTCTAAGCCGGGCTCTGTGCCGACTTCGCCGGAGATAACTCCACAGATCAAGACACTTTGGCCATGGCATTTGAATGCATGGTATTTTTAGGTCCTGGTTGGTTTCCCTGAAATGAAACTCACTCTGGGCTTCCCGTTGTGATGGGCGAGGAGTTCAGGCAGCTTCCCCTCCAGGAGCATCTCAAAGGCCTGCAGAGAGCGTGTAAAGCAGCCGTGGAGAGCGGGGAAGCCGCCTTTTCCTGTGGCTGCCAATTCTGGAAGGGGTGGCCGAGAAGCTGGTAGCCGAGCAGGGCTTTTGCAAGCCTTTTGGGATTACAGGGACAAGAGGTGGTCAGGCCCCATCAAGAAGCGGGAGTCTTGTTACTCCCGTTAGCTTGGGGCTGGGTCTCTGACAGGTTCCGAGGAGTGAGGAGAACCAACCCGCAGGCCATAAGGCCACAGGTCAGCCCAGGCTCTGCCCAGGGGGAGCGTGCCCCTCAGGGCAGTGTCTCACCCATCGGAGCAACAGACCACTGGAATCACACCCCAGAGAGACCGGGAGGCCTGCCCTTCTGGACTCAGGACGGAGGCAGCTCCCCAGGGCCGGGGGTCGCTCGAATATCGTCGGGGGAAAGGTGAAACCTCGCCCCTTCAGACCGCACCGGGGTCAGGCCCAAGGAGGCTGAAATCTAAATGCGGTGGTAAAAGCAGGCAAATGTGAACAATGAAAGCAAGCAAACTTCTAGGCGACAGGGTAGAAGAATATTTTCATGAGTTTATGGTAAAGAAAAAATTCATAAATTGTATATAAAAATACTAACCATAAAGGAAAACAGTGTTGAATTTGACTATATTAAAAGCAATGATTTTATTATTTTTGTTTTCTGAGACAGGGTCTGGCTGTCACCCAGGTGCAGCGGCACGATCACGCCTCACTGCAACCTCTGCCTCCTGCGCTCTAGCGATCCTCCCCCGTCAGTCTCCTGATTAGCTGGACTACAGCTGCACACCACTTCGCCCAGCCAATTTCTGTATATATATATTTTTGTAGAGATGGAGTTTTGCCATGTTGCTCAGGCTGGTCTTGAACTCCTGAGCTCGAGCAATCTGCCGGATTTGGCCTCCAAAGTGCTGGGTTACAGGTGCGAGCCACCACAGCTGGCCTAAAGCAATGATTTTAAAAAGAAGACACTTTTTTTTCCTCCTTTCAAATGAGCTGGTTGAATTCGTGGTGATACAGAATTGAGGGGAGAAGACCAAAGAGCGCCCTCTGGCAGGCTTCTGGGCGGCTTTACCTCACATTCACAGCTCAAGTGGGAATGACGGTGAGAAGCCACTAGAGGTGTCACGTGACGTGCCACTGTCAGATTTTTAAAGTTTATTCTTGAATGTGCAACAGGCTCCAGGGCAACGCTCACTCTAGGAGAAGATGGCAAAAGCTGTCCTGGCAGGGATGCAGGTGTTGAAACAGGAGTGGAGTCCAGGCCGCCACCGCCCAGGCACAGGGAGCACGTGCTTTCCGCCAGGGGTCTTAGTTCCAGCTGTGGCTGGGCCTCCCTGTGGCCTGTGCTTTCGCCCCCTTGAGGTTCTGGTCTGTTTTGCTTTCTGCTGGAAGCCTCTCATCCCTGTCCCTCTCCTGGGCCTGCTTCTTGGGCTGTCTCGGAGGCTTCTTGCCATCTTCATGGTCGGACACGGTGCCTACGGCCCCTTTACCAGACCCTGCCACAGGAAATGGACAGAAGACACTTCTGAGAGGTTGCAGATGCAAGTTGCAGACTGGGAAGGGTCTTTAAAATGGCTGCTGCTAAAATCATTGTGTTTAATGTAGTGAGATTCACCAGTCTTTTGCTTTATGGTATTTTGATATGTAATTTATGAATACAGCACCATGGAGTCAGTTAGGGGCTCATATCCAGAACACCGGGACAGCTGGCTGGGCGTGCCTGTGGTCCCAGTGAGGTGGGAGGGTGGCCGGAGCCCTGGAGTCGGAGCCTGCGGTTTGCTGTGATCGCACCTGTGAATGCTGCTGCATTCCAGCCTGGGCAACATGGCAAGACCTCGTCTATTAAAAAAAATAAATAAATAGGCCGGGCGCGGTGGCTCAAGCCTGTAATCCCAGCACTTTGGGAGGCCGAGACGGGCGGATCACGAGGTCAGGAGATTGAGACCATCATGGCTAACACGGTGAAACCCTGTCTCTACTAAAAAAAAAAATACAAAAACTAGCTGGGCGAGGTGGCGGGCGCCTGTAGTCCCAGCTACTCGAGAGGCTGAGGCAGGAGAATGGCGTAAACCCGGGAGGCAGAGCTTGCAGTGAGCTGAGATCCGGCCACTGCACTCCAGCCTGGGCGACAGAACGAGACTCCGTCTCAAAAAAAAAAAAATAAATAAATAAATCAATAAAGCAAGCAAAAATAATAACAGTTACAAACTAGGGAGAATGAGACACAGACATTTCCCACAGGAGGGCATGGGGATGGCTAGTTAAAGCCATCAGGCTCATTAGCAATTAGAGAAATGCACTTAAAGCACAATTTAAAAGCCAAAAGCTCCACACCCTTAGAATGGCCAAAATTAAAAAGATGGACACCACCAAGTGTTGAGAAGGATGTGGAGCCCGCAGCATGCGAGGGTGAGGGGGGCGCCATGGCCCCTGCCGCCATCTCTCCAGCTGCCCGCCCTCCCTGCCTCCCTCCCTCTGTGCCCACCTGCTCCTCTTCCGGTTCCCTCTGCCTGGCTGTTTTCTCTAGTGAATGTTACTCAGCCGGCAGCTCCTGGCTTAGCAAAGCTCGCGGGCATTCGGCTCTGCGTCCGCCTGTGGCTCTGCCCCTGTCTGTGTGGCCCCCCCACCAGCCAGCTGCCCCCTCTGATTCTGAGCTCCCAGAGGGCAGGGCAGCCTCTGCCTAGGCACATCTTTGTATGTCCAGCACCTAACATGGGCCTGGCGCTTAGGCGGGTCCAAGAGACACCTGAGTAATGGCACCAGTCACCTGGTGCTACAGCAAAAGCGTTCCCTCCGAACAGTTTTGGGCTGCTCTCTCTTCTTTAGGGCATCTTGACCCAGCCGAAAAAGTTGAAGATGCTCGCCCCAAGTTATGGTGTGCTCTGAGCGATGGCAAGGTGACTGTGTTCGATGCTTCTTCCTGGACCATCCACCAGCACTCCTTTAAAGTGGGCACTGCAAAAGTGGTGAGTACATGAAGTGTCAGGAAAGAAGCCTCTGGATTCACGTGATTTCTGAAACCTAAGTGTGTTCATCCATATTCGACAGGAGGATACAAACTATTCCACAGCATCACTCAGTTTCTGTAAACAGGGGGTCTTAACTTTTACCTAGAGTTTTTAAATTAAATGTAAGCTTGTTCCAACCTTCTACTTACATGTCCTTATTGAAGGAGAAGATAATGGCTTTGACTTTCTCATCTAAAAGTAGATTTCAGGCCCCCATCTAAAAATAGATTTCGGCCGGGCGTGGTGGCTCACGCCTGTAATCCCAGCACTTTGGAAGGCCGAGGTGGGCAGATCACGAGAGGTCAGGAGTTTAAGACTAACCTGGCCAACATGGTGAACCATCTCTACTAAAAAATACAAAAAATTAGCCGGGCATGGTGGTGGGCGCCTGTAGTCCCAGCTACTCGAGAGGCTGAGGCAGGAGAATGGCGTGAACCCGGGAGGCGGAGCTTGCAGTGAGCCGAAATCGGGCTGCTACACTCCAGCTTGGGTGACAGAGCAAGACTCCGTCTCAAAAATAAATAAATAAATAAATAAAGGTAGATTGCAGGGGCTCACACCTGTAATCTCAGCACTTTGGGAGGCTGAGGTGGGTGGATTGCCTTGAGCCCAGGAGTTTGAGACCAGCCTGGGCAACAGAGTGAGATCCCATCTCTACAAAAATTAGCCGGGCATGGTGGAACGTGCCTGTGGTCCCAGTTACTTGGGAAGCTGAGGCGGAAGGATCGCTTGAGCCCAGGAGGTCGAGGCTGCAGTGAGCCAGGATTGCGCCACTGCACTCTAGCCTGGGTGACAGAGCCATACCCTGTCTCAAACAAACAATAATAATAATAAAAAAATAGATGTCAGTTCTGTGAAGTGGAGCCATTGTGGTCTCTGCCTGCTTATTAGGGGCCTCACATGACCCTTTGGGAACAATTTCCTTTTTTTTTCTTTGTTGAGACAGGATCTTGCTCTGTTGCTCAGGCTGGAGTGCAGTGGTTCAACCACGGCTCACTGCAGCCTCGACCTTCTGGGCTCAAGTGATCCTCCCACCTCAGTCTCCTGAGTAGCTGGGACTATAGGTGCCCACCACCATGCCTGGCTAATTTTGTATTTTTTGTAGAGATGAGGTTTTGCCATGTTGCCCAGGCTAGGAACGGTGTCTTCCATCCCGTACTGCAGCACTAAGATTCCCATGGACCAGGGTCTTAAAATGAACCTGCAGAGTTTCCTGGGAACTCTGGTGTTTCCTGGTGGCACAGTGGTTACTGGGTCTCTTTTGGACCAAAAGGGGAGACAGCTGCCTCTGCAGTGACTTGAGTGTTATCCACCTGTCCCCATGTGCCAGGTGGCAGAGAGGAGGGTCCAGCAAAACTCAGTGTCCACTCGTCGCACATTGGGCCTTTCATTTAGAGCAAGCTTGTCCAACCTGTGGCCTGCAGGCTGCACGTGGCCCAGGAAGGCTTTGAATGAGGCCCAACACAAATTCGTAAACGTTCTTAAAACATGATAAGTTTTTTTGGCAATCTTTTTCCTTTTAGCTCATCAGCGATCGTTAAGGTGAGTGTATTTTATGTGTGGCCCAAGACAATTCTTCTTCCAGTGTGGCTCAGGGAAGCTAAAAGATGGCATGCCCCCGATTTAAAGCAAGTTTGAATTGTTTCTGATAATTTTAAAACAAGTACAACTGTTAATACATTTTTAGTAATGTGTCCTTGGCAGCGCCATGGTGTCGCCTCTTCCATGACCGTGGTATCCTGAGTGTGGAAGCTGGGATTCCGGCCCCGCTCATCCCTCCAGGCCTCCAGCGGCCCCTCCTGCCTCCAGACTATCATTTCTTGGGGATTTTCCCTGTTTGCTTGTCAGAGCTGGAGCTGCCCCTCCCTGCAGATCTGTGTGCACTTCCCTGTTGCCCGAGAGGCCGCCGAGTAGCTCCCCGTGCTCTGCGGCCCCACACTCCCCCGCACCGTGGGCTGCGCGCCCTTTGTCCATGTTTCTTCTGTTCTTGCTCACGGATTTGCAGATGATTTTCACATTTAAATTGCATTTTATACTTTTCAAAATATTTTCGCATCTATACTGTCCTCCTATCCAGTGGGTTCACCCTCCGAGCAGCCACCGCATCATGGGATCTGCCGAGAAACGCTCATGCCTTATTCCTCGAGCATGATAGGATTTATTTTTTTTCCCCATGTTTAATGTGAAAAGAACACTCCAATGGAGTATATACCTAAGTATATATTAGGCATTGGTTGGTATCTTTTTTTTTTTTTTTGACAGCGTCTCACTCGCATTGCCCATGGTTGGAGTGTAGTGGTGCAGTCACTGCCCACTGCAGCCCAGACCTCCTGGCTTAAGCGATCCCCCCGCCTCAGCCTCCCGAATAGCTGGGGTTATAGGTGCGCACCACCACAGCTGGCTAATTTTTGTATTTTGAGTAGAGGTGGGTTTCACCATGCTGCTCAGGCTGGTCTCAAACTCCTGGGCTCAAGCAATCCTCCTGCCTCGGACCCCCAAAGTGCTGGGATTACAGGTGTGAGCCGCTACACTCGGCCGTGGTATCAATTTTGATGGCTGTGCTCCCTTGTCTAAAAATAATGTGGCAATCCATGGTACAGTATGTGCTTGCAAAACTGCTATAAAACAAATACTGTGAATTCAAGTACATACCACCAAGAGGGTGGGACCACTCTGAGATACCTGAATAGCAAACTTGACGTGTTAGCAAGGTAATGAGAGATTGCTAAGTCATTTCCCCCCGTATTCAAATCATGAGTCTCAGATGATAAATAAGATCCATGATACAGTAAAAATATTGACAAAAGTCTAGTAATGCTTTAGATGAAACAACAAAAAAGGAAAAATTAGGGAAATTATTTTTCTACATTTAATTTTTTTCAGCTCATTCTTAGTTATAAGCACGTCAAGCCTGGACGCAGTGGCTCCGCCTATAATCCCAGCACTTTGCGGGGCCGAAGCAGGAAGATTGCTTGAATCCAGGAGTTCGAGACCAGCCTGGGCAACATGGGGAAACACTATCTCTACTAAAAATGCCAAACATTAGCCAGGCGTGGTGGCGCATGCCTCTAGTCCCGGCTACTCGGGGGGCTGAAGCGAGAGAATCGCTTGAGCCCCAGAGGCTGAGGCTGCAGTGAGCCATGATCATGCCACTGCACTCCAGCTTGGGTGACAGAGGGAGATCCTGTTTCAAAAAATTATTTAAATTAAAATTTAAAAAATTCTGATTTCAAAAAGTCTAAACGCAATCATTGTGTTGACTTTGCTTAGCCAGAAACCCTGAGCACATCCTCTAGACCCTGGGAGCACTGCCAGTTCTGCTCGTTCATATATAATCGATCTCATCATTTAGAGTCTGTATTTGCAAATTCGACTACCTGCTAATATTTACTTGTAACTCCCAAAACAGATACTCGTGGCATTTTCTTGGCGATCCACAGACATGCACGTGCACAGAGTGGGGAGAAACTTGAGTCGCCCGATGTGTATTTTCTGGGCCAATGGGTGTCCTTTCCTTGGCCTGACTGGTGCCACGGTTTTCAAGCGTTTTTGCTTTTTGTTGGTGATTTCAGATAGCCTCAAGCATCGAGCTCCCTAAGCACGAGGAGGCGTTGGCGTGTCTTGCAGAGAAAACGCATGTGTGAGATGAGCTTGGTTCAGGCCGCAGTGATAGTGCTGGCAGCCGTGGGTTCCGTGTTAATGAGTCAACCATACATAGTCAATGAGGTGTCTGTAAACAGAGCACGCAGAGAACAAGGTTAGGCACTGACGGGTGGATGAGAATGTCAGGGCCAGAGGCTCCCAGGACCCTGAGCCGACGTGTCCCCTAGGAGCAGTGGCTCCATATCTGCTAATTCAGCATTTGCAGTAAATGTATAGAATATGACTTCACCAGTATCGAGACTGACTGATTTCTCACATTCCCGTGGCCTCCCATTAGAACTGCATGGTGATGGCCGACCAGAACCAGGTGTGGGTTGGCTCAGAAGACTCCGTCATCTACATCATCAACGTCCACAGCATGTCCTGCAACAAGCAGCTCACAGACCACTGCTCCAGTGTCACGGACTTGATTGTGCAGGACGGACAGAGGGTACCCAGGTGCGGGTGGGCTCTGCTGGGGAGAAGGGATTGTTTGGCTCATGGGTGGGCAGAGGGTACAGCGGGTAGGGCTCCCAAGGCTCATGCCCACAGGGGCCAGGCAGGGCGTACAGGGTGAAGTGGATCTGGAACGAGGAAAGCTGGGTGGTGTCCTCGGCCCGCTTCTGCTCACGGGTGCGGAGAACCCATGAGACCATCGGGGGCCAAGCGTGGTGATGAAGGCTCCACACCTGGCCTTCCTGCTGAGCTTGCTGTGGGCATGGTGGCCTGGGGCAGCCCCGAGAGGGCACAGCCTCCCAGAGGAGCACCAGCCATGGTGTCAGAAGCCTGGACTCGCCTGGGAATCGCCTGCGTGCTCAGTGTTGGCCTTGGGCTGCCGGTTTGCTGCCGTGTCCCACAGTGGGAGCAGCAGTGGACACAGTGGGCATCTAGGGAGATGGGAGGAGGAGGTGGGGTCTCCTCAAGCAGAGGCCCGTGGTGGGGAAGGTGCTCAAGGCTGCCCACTTGGTCCAGGCAGCCCCAGCCCTGGGGGAGGGGCTCCACTCCCCACTCCTTTTCCCCCTGACTCAGTGTCAGGGGTGCCTGTGTCAGGCCCTGCTGGGGTGGGGAGGTGCTAGCCTGGAAACAAAGCTGGCTCAGGAGGTGCAAGGGTGGCGCAGGGTGCAGGCTCGAGCCCAGCCCTACCCCACAGCCACCTGCACCTGCACCTGCAGCCAGCCCATGTCACCTGAGAGCTCTGAGGAGCGTGCTGGCTCCCTGGTCCCTTGTGACGAGGTTCCATTTCAGTTCATGGTCATGTCGTGGTTCTATGACCAACACCTCACTAAGCCTGCGGTTTGCAGTAGTGGGAGAGGTGGATGTCCCGAGAAACCCGTCTTTTTCTGCCGAGTCAGTTACATTTGAGCCAAGCCTGGCTGTGGCCGCATTCACAGTATGTTTGCACGTTATTATCATGTTTGCAGGTTATCCATGTTGAGCACATTTTCTCTCATGGCGACTTGGTTCTTCCCTGGGTTAAAATTTGCTCAGTGTTTTCAAGGGCCCGAGTTAAAGGTGTGTGGGTGTGTGTTTTGTGCCCCCAGCGAGGTGTACTCATGCAGCATGGACGGCACAGTGCTGGCGTGGAATGTGAGCACACTGCAGGTGACCAGCCGCTTCCAGCTGTCGAGCGGCGGCCTCACGTCCATCAGACTGCACGGCGGCTGCCTGTGGTGCTGTAAGTCTGGCCCCTGCCCTCAGAGCGGGCAGCCTACCTCCCTGCTCTGGGAAAAGGATGCTGAACGAGAGCAGAAGGCCTCCTTCCTTTGCTTCACGCCTTTCCGGTCTTTATTTTAAACTTGGGTTCCCTTTCTGTGGCCACAGAAACCTTTACTCCACCTGCACTGCTGCTCCTGTAGGTTCCCCAGGCCTCCCTCAGCTTTTCCACCCGGTGGCTGATGGGACACCTGCCTTGCCCGGATGCACCACTGCTCTCCTGCCCCTCACCTTGGCTTTCGCTGTGCCCTGCTCTGGGGTTGAAGCTGGCCCAGGTGTCCCCCAGAGTCATGGCTGCTCCTCTTGGGAGGCCTCTGTGTGCGTCATGTCTCCACACCTGGGGCAGCTGGCAAGCCCGTGCCGTTACCCTCGGCCGCTTGGCACAGAGCTGCAGCCTGGGACTCTCCGTGGACCCAGACTGGGCATTTTGCCAGGGGGTGATGGGAGGAGCAGGTGCTTTGCCTGGCGGCTGTGTCTCCATTTCTGGACACCCCAGAGCACGGAAGTTGCCTGCACTTTGAGGTCTTCCTTGGCGTGTGCCAGATTACATGAGTGACGGCTGGAAATACATTTTCTTCTTTGTAATGGAAGCATGTTTCACATATAGTAAAGCCTGCCAAAAACTGCTCAGTTTGTTGTGTTTTGACAAACATCTAAACTACATAACCATGAAACAAGTCAAGATATGCAGCGTTTCCATCACAGCTGAAAGCGTCTGTGCCCCTTTCCAGGCCATGCTCCCATTCCAGGGATACAAGTGCTCTTAGTTCTGTCACTCTGACTTTGATTTTTACAGAACTTTCTATAAATGGACTCTACAGTATGCCTTCTTCTGTATCTGGCTTTATTCAGTCAGCAGAATGTTTACGGTATTCATCGCTGACGTTCTGAGTATCAATATCAATAGCTCGTTCCTTCTTGCAGGGTCATATTCCATTGTGTGCCTATGGAACAACTTGCTCATCCTTCCCCTGCCCCAAGTGGGCACTGGGTTAACTCTGCTTAACTGTTTGAAAAACTGTCAGACTGTTTTCTGAAGTGGCGGCATCAGCTTCCACCCCACCAGCAGTCTCAGGCTTCGTTTCTACACATCCTCACCCAAACTGGTTCTCACCTGTTTTTACTGACACCATCCCAGCGGGAGTGAAGTGGTGTCCTGTGGTTTGGATTTGTGGCTCCCTCACGGCTGATGGTGCTGAGCACTCTGTCATGTGCCCGGTGCCCACCGACGCCTCCTCTGGAACAGTGCCCGTGCAGGCCCCTGCCCACTGTTCCGCTCGCTTTCAGGGCCAGTAGCGACGTGGTTGGGTGCAAGCCAGCAATTGTCCTTCTTCACCTCATCTGTTTGTTTTGTCTTCCTTTCTTGCCCTCTTTTGTATTGAATATTTTTATGTTCAATTTAATCTTCTTATTGTTTTTAAGCATTATATTTTTGTTTTATTTTTCAGTGGTTGCTCTAAGAATTGCAATATGCAACCTTAACCGATTACCCTCCTCCTTAACTAACTATGATACTGCTTCACGGATAGGGTAAGAAGTTTACAACAGTGTCAACTGTGGTAATCCCAATAATATATTCTTTACAATTTTTTGCTTAAGCAGTCAATGATCTTTCAAGAAAATTAAGAAAAATTAAGAAATTGCCCACATACTTACCTTTTCTGGTGACCTTCATTTCTTCTTAAAGACCCAGGTTTCTATCTTGCATTTTTTCCTGGTAGACCTCACCCGTGCACACCTCAGGCGCCACGTGGCACATGGCGATCCCCCTGTCACCACGCTGGAAAGAGCAGTGGGCCCGGCTCTGGTGCTGGCCTCTTACATTGCCAATGGCGCTGCCTAGCCCCATCCTAGCGCCTTCCTTCCACAGGCACAGGTAACAGCATCATGGTCATGACAACGAATGGATTCCTCTGTCAAGAATTGAAGATTGAGGAGCACTTCAAAGACATCAGTACCTCCTTCCTGGCCTTCCAGCTCCTTCCCGAGGTATCCCAGCAGGGGCTGTGGGCCTAGCATGCGCGTGGCCCAGGGCCCACAGCCCACACTGTGCCCTGTGTTTTAGCAGGAGCAGCTGTGGGCGGCCTGTGCAGGACGCAGCGAGGTTTACATCTGGCGCCTGAAGGACCTGGCCCAGCCCCCGCAGAGGGTGTCCCTCAAGGACTGCTCTGAGATCATCTGCATGATCCGGGTGAAGAAGCAGGTAGGGTGGAGGGCCCGCCACCCCCTGCATCCCCTCCAGGTCTCACTTGCCCTGACCGCGTCCCCATGCTCCCGAGAGCCAGCCGCACGCCCTCGTGCCCTCCTGCCTTAGCCTCTCAGGCCCCCTCCTAATAGGCACGCGCAGGGTTGGCACCAACGGGCCCACAGGTCACCATGTGCTGGTTTCATGGTGTGGTCCAAGCACTCCACAGTGCATTCCCCCAAACTGGATGGCTTCAAATGACAGAATTTAATTTTCTCACAGTTCTCGAGGCCGGAGGTCCAAAACCAAGGTGTCACCAGAGCTGCTTCCCTTGGGGGCTCGGGGGGTACCATGCACTCCAGGCCCTTCTCTCTGCCACCCGCTCGTGTGGCCGCCATCCTTGGCGTGCCCTGACTGTGGACGTGGCACTCTAATCTGTGCCTGCGCCACACGGCGCTCTCTCTCCGTGTGTGTGTCTCTTATGGGGATGCTGGTCATACTGGATTAACCACATCTGAACTATCTGCAGACTGTTTCCAAAGAAGCTCACATTCTGAGGTTCAGGGAGGACATGGATTTGGGGGGACACCGTTCAACCCATTAGAGTCTGCCCTCTGGCCCCCCAAATCCACATCTGTCCCACATGCAAAATACACCCCCTCCGTCACTGCATCCCCCGAAGTCCTAGCCCATGCCAGCATCAGTTCTGAGCCCCAGATCTCCAAGTGAAGCCAGTGCCCTCCGATGTGGGTGAGCTGTGGGCGGGTCCCACCTGGGGCAGAACTAACCTCTCTTCCACGGTGAACCTGCACAGCTAGAAACAGTCGTCTCTTCCCAAAATACAAGGCTGGGCCAGGCAGAGGCTAGACATTCTCATCTGAAAAGGGAGAAATTGGAAGGAAAGCTGGACTTCCAGGCCCCGAGCAAGTCTGAGACATGGTGGGGCGGGGGCGGGAGAGGGGAATTCATTTAGCATTTTCCCCCATAACTTAATTGGGATATAATTGACAAAATTATATATATCTAAGGTATACAAGGTGATATTTCGATATACATTGTGAAACAATCACAAGCTAATTACCGTATCTGTCACGTCACACAGGTGGCGTTTTTGTTTGGTGAGAACACTTAAGATGCACCCCTAGCACCTTTCCAGCACGCAGTGCAGTCTTGTTCCCTAGAGGCCCCTCGGCCATTAAGTTCTAAGCCTGAGAAAGGTCCTCTGCACCCGCCAGGTGGCCCTGACCCTCAGGCGGCAGAGCCCCTCTCCAGGAAGGCCGTAGATTTGGAGGCACACGCGTCCATTCTGGGTAGCCGGGCAAAGCCCTGGCATGCCTGGGAGGGGCTTCTTTCCCCACTGACCACTCCTGTGTCTCCCTGGCAGGTCTGGGTGGGCAGCCGAGGGCTGTGGCAGGGAACACCCAGGGGGAAAATCTACGTGATTGATGCGGAGAGGAAGACCGTGGAGAAGGAGCTGGTGGCGCACACGGACACCGTGAGGACACTGTGCTCGGCCGAGGACAGATACGTGCTGAGTGGGTCGGGCAGGGAGGAGGGGAAGATCGCCATTTGGAAAGGGGAGTAAACATGGCTGAGCCTGCCGAGTGGAACCGTGCCCTATGTGTGGGGACGGGCTGCCCCCTAGAGCCCGCCAGGCTCAGAAGCCCAGAGGAGTGGCGGGACAGGACAGCCCAGGCTCGGCATGGAGCCCACTTACCGTGTGGCCAGCCGCAAGACCCATGGCCACGCACCTTCTCTCAGGCCTTCGGGCACCCCGGTTAGACTGCACCAAGGGTGTTTCCTGTTGGGGTGTGTCTCAGGCGGGCAGCTGCATCTTGTTTGTGATAACCTCTGCTGGGAGGTTACTTTGTGTGTTGCCTAGAAAGTTCTGGAATCCACAACCAGGGGCTGGCACTGAAGCCAGCAGCTTGGCCGAGTCACAGGTGACCCGTGGCCCTCACGTCTCTGGTTTTACCTTTCCTTACTTCATTCATTCACTCACCCAGTCCTTATGAGTCACCGAGGAACACTGGGCTGGGCACATGACAGTGAGCCGGGGGCCCCGGGACCTCCAGAGAGGCCTGGGAGGAGGGTGGTTCAGGTAACCACTGTGGTCTCTCTCCCATCAGAGAAGGTGGACAGGGCCTACTCAGATGGAGGGGACCACCCTGGGATCAGGTGTTTGGGACAGGGGTTGGGCCAGCTGAGGCAAGCTGTCTTTTTTCCTTTTCTTTTTAGTAAATGTAAAATTTTTATAATAATCCTAGAGACCTTTTTTCTACCAAAGATCACAGACCAGAAAAAGTTCCATCTAAAATATCATGCTCAGGAAACTACACGGGATCAACAGGAAAATACCATCATGTATGATCTCGTCTTGCAGTGTGCCGTTCAGTTTCCCGGAACTCGCGTGCGCACTGCACATGTGTACGTGCAAGATGCTTTACTGAACTCAGCAAGATCTTAGCTGTACAGAAATATTTGCAAAAGAGACCCTTTGCACCTTTTTACTGTAATGTTGAGATTTCATTACTTAAATGTTCTATGGAAGGTTCTGGTGTGGTTGTTGGAGCTGGAGGGAGCATCTCAGCACGTGCTGAGGGCGTGGGGCCTGCCCCCTGGGCACCCATCCACAAGCTGGGCCATGGAGCCCTGGCTTCCCAAGACGCAGCCCCAGAGCTGGCTCATCCTGAGGGTCTCTGGGGGTGTTTGCCAGGCTCCCGGGATGGGCCACTTTCAGAAACTCTGCAGTGCCTCCAGATGGAAAGCTGGGCCCGGTCTCTGGTTGGGTCTGCATTTTGGAGAGTCCACACCATGGACCAGGTTTTCCCCAAGCCTCAGCTTTGCGTAGCCACTAACTCCTTGGGGCGGTCTGAGAATGTGGGCGGAGCAGAACCGTGTGGCCTCATCCTCCCCCAAGGCTGTACCTGCAGCGGGAACAGCTTTCCACTTTCTAGCTGGGGAGAGGTTGGGTTTTGCTTCTGTAAATACAGGAATCCTCATGATAAAAGCCTGTCAGAAATACATGTATACATTATTTAATGCCAGTCCTCATGTAACCTCGGGCATCTTCAGCTTGTGGAGAATAAATCTGGTTTAATAAACACTGATGTCCAGCTTCCTCACTTCACCCAACAGTGACTGGGGGAAGGTCTTGAAAATGACCCAGGACCATTCTGAACGGGCTCCTTCCTCACTCTAGACACCGGTCACGTTATTTTAATGCAGATTCTTCAGGTCTTTTCTCCATGGTGATAATTTCCAAGATCTTACTTGACAGGGTGTTGCGTTTTAGGAAATGGTCACTCATATAAAAGAGAAAACAGACGTGAACGAGGTGCTAGCCAGGGAGAATATGTGCTGGGCAGGCCTGGGTTCCACGTCGATTCTGTGTGACGCAAACAGAATCCCGGCCAGTGTTTACTGAAATGGAAAGGGCACTCTGATGCCTTCGATGTTTTTCCCTGTGCTTCGGAGAGATTCCATTAGGAGCGATTTGTCATGGAAAGGCCCCAAATGAGCCGGAATTCATTCAACAGACTGTGATGCCGTCCCTGCCTCTGCTTTAGAAACCTGAATTAAATTGGGGCAAAAAAGTATTTCTCTTGAACCGGAAATATTTTAATAGAATTTAAGTTCTCCTGCCGTATTTCAAACAACAGAAAAGAAAGCTTGCTTTAGGGAGCGGGCACTGTTCACAACGCCAACCAAAAGCTCATCCCAAGTCCCCATCACTGAGGCAGAGGTTGTGGAGACAATCACCTGGTAACATTTCCATGATTTGTTCTTGGAAGATGTGTGTACATCAGCTGTTTTCAAAGGACAGCCCTTAGCATTGGATGTGACTGTAACATCTGAAGTAAAAGTGCGTGAATTTTGTCTACTTCTTGAGGATTGCTTGCACAGATGAAGGGGTGCTTTCTCCGCATGGCTGAGGAGGGCATGGTTGGAGAGTGCAGCAGGGTTGCCTCACTGTCTCTGCTGTCCGCAGCTGTCTGCATGTCTTGGAGCAATACTGTGCCATCCCCCAGAAGGCAAGGCAGAGGCTCACAGACACAGGGCTGGCTTCTGTCGCCTGCGTTGCTGCCGCTGAGCTGCAGTGTGAGCCGAGGCGTGCATAGGACTGCGAGGAGCTCTGCAGTGATCTGCCCTGGAACCTTGGTGGATTCTTAGAGACACAGCCTGGGGTCACGGGCACGGCAGATGCACTGGGGCCAGTTGGGAGGCCTAGCTGCAGATCTATCCAGGCCTAGCTGCAGATCTGGCCACAAGCCCTGAATCCCCTGTAAAACAGGGGTGTTCCTTCTTGCAGGGCCCACATGGAGACCGACGGGGGCACACTGAACACCCAGTCTGTTGCTGGGCTCCCAGGAACATCTCAAAGAATGCGCCATCCTGGCCTGTGTGCTGGGCCCGTGAAAACATTAAGGGAGGAGGAATGAGGATGCGATGGCTCCTGTCGCGGGTTGAATGGCGCCCTCAAAAACATATGTCCATGTCCTGACCCCCGGGACCTGTGAATCTGACCTTACCTAGATAAAGGGTCTTTGCAGATGGAATTAGGGATCTGAAGATGAGCCCCTGCTGGATTCTGGGCGGGCCCTAAATCCAGCGACAAATGTCCTAAGGAGGAGAGGAAAAGACACATAAGGAGAGGCCACGTGAAGACGGGCAGAGGCAGGAGCGATGCAGCCACAAGCCCAGGAGCCTGGAGCCATGGGGAACTGGAAGAGGCCAGGACGATTCTTCCCCCGGAGCCTTCAGAGTGGGTGTGGCCCTACCGGCCCCTGGATCTCAGACTTCTGGCCTCCAGAACGGTGAGAAAATAAATGTCAGGTGCATGACCCCCACCGCCACGCCTGTTTGCGGTGTTTGTTCTGGCAGCCACAGGAAACTCTCCCAGCTCCTGTTTGTTGCCGGTGTGTTGCCCGTGTGCCCCAGTCAGGTGTTGTGCCAGGGGCTTTAGGGGCACGGTTGTGTATGACCCTCAGGACCCTGTGGCATGGAGAGGATCACCCCCATTTTACACCCAGGATACTGTGGCCCAAGTACTAAGAGCAAAGCAGAGGTTGGGGGCATATACTCCTCCCTCCAAGAAGGCAGGGCTGGCCTTCGGGAGGCCCTCAGAAGCTGCTCTTGCCCTGGCGTGCAGCCTTTCTTTCCACCAGTGCTCTCACCTTTAACAAGGCACTGGGAGGGGCTGAGGCTGGTGGTCCTGAGATGTGTTAGCCCCTGGCCCATTCAGGGAGGATCCTGGGATGAGGGAGGGGGTAAACTCACCTTACTTTGGTGGTGGAGAAGAGTAAGTCGCACTAGCTCTGCATCTTTCCCTGAGGGCCAAGGGGGCGTATTCTGCGCCTTTAGGTGCTGGGCCAGCAAACCACTGCTACGGTTCTGCTGGGTCTAGTGGTAGGCATCCGGGGCTAGGGGCTGAGGCCCTGTGTGCAGAGGTTGACAGGAGGCTCAAAGGAGATGCAGTAGGACAATGGTGCAGGTAGTGGGGCCTGAGCATCACTGACATCCCCACAGGGATGGCTACAAAATTAAATATTAAAAAAGATTTACCAAAAAAGACAGGAAAGCAGTGACAGAGGAACAAAAAGCCAGATGTGACAAGTAGAAAATAAGTAGCAAGATGGTAGACTTCCACCTAACCATATTGATAATTACATTAAGTGTAAATGGATGCAATACTCCAATTAAAAGGCAGAGGCTGTCAAACTAGATCTAAAAGGAAACCCAACTATAAGTTGTCTATAAGTGACTCACTTTAAATATAAAAACACAAATGAGGTAAGAGTAGAAGGATGAAAAAAGTTTTAGGCTGGATGTGGTGGCTCACACCTATAATCTTAGCACTTTGGGAAGCTGAGGCAGGAGGATCACTTGGGCCCAGGAATTCAGGACCAGCCTGGGTAACACAGTGAGACCCCCATCTCTATAAAAACATTAAAAAATTAGCCGGATGTGGTGGTGTGGACCTGTAGCCCACCTACTCACGGGGCTGAGGTGGGAGGATCGCTTGAGCCTGGGAGGTCAATGCTGCAGTGAACTGTGATCATGTCACTGCACTCAGCGTGGGTGACAGAGTGAGACCCTGTCTGAAAACAAAGAAAAAGAAAAAGTTTTACTATACCAACAGTAAGTATTAAAAAGCTGGTATGGTTATATTACTATCAGACAAAACATACCTCTTGGTATACTACAAGAAACAAACAGGGAAAACATAATAATAATAAGGTCAATTCATCAAGAAGATGAATTAACTAGTAATAGAGATTTAAGAGTTATGAAGCAAGCATGGTAGAACTATAGGAGAAAATAGACAAAATCCACAATCATAGAGGTTTTAACACTCTTCTCTCAGAAATTGATAGAAAAAGTCAATAAAAAATTAGCAAGGATATAGATTTAGCAACACTGTCAACCAGCCTGACCTGACATAGAACACTACAGCCAACAACAGGAGAACATCCATTCTTTTCATGTGCACAGGGAACGTTCATCAGGCTGGATCACATGCTGGGCTATAAAATAAATTTGAAGATTTAAATATTACAGACTATGTTCTCTGACGACACAGAAATGGAATGGGATATCAACAGTGATAATATGCCTAAAAATCCCAAAATTAAAATTTTGTTGGGAAATTAAACAACATACTTCAAAATAACCCATCAGTCAAAGAAGAAACACAAAGGAAATTAGAAAATATTTTGAACTGAATGATAGTGAAAACACAATATATCAGAATGTGTGGGATGCAGGCCGGGTATCGTGGTGCATGCCTATAATCCTAGCACTTTGGGAGGCCAAGGCAGGAGGATCCCTTGAGCCCAGGAGTTCGAGACCAGCCTGGGCAACACAGGGAGATGCTCTCTCTTCATTTTTAAAGAAAATTAAAAACCAAAATGTATGAGACGTAGCTAAGGAGAACAATTATAACTTTAAATGCCTCTATTAGCAGAAAAGTTTCAAATCAGCTATCTAAATTTTAATCATAAGAATGTAGAAAACAAATGCATATTTAAATAAAATAAGTAAAGGAAGGTAGTAATAAAAACCAAAACTCAATGAAAGGGAACACAATCAGCAAAGGCAAAAGTTGGTTCTCTAATTGATAACCCCTATCAAGGCTGATCAAGAAAAACACACCCATGCACGAATTTCACTCCAATATCAGGAATGAAATGGGATGCAAATCTTACATACGTCACAAAGATATTATGAATAACTACTTTAGATAAAATATGCAAATTTCTTAAAAATAACTTCATGAAACCAACACAAAGAGGAATAAAATCTGAGGAGTCTTACGTCTATAAAGGCAATTGGTTTGTAGTCAAAAATCTCCCAGAAAGAAGACATCTCCCAGAAAGACGAGCTCTCTAGGCTGAATTGCTTTCACTAGTTAATTCTAATAAACCCTTAAGTATGGTGTAATAGAATTTACAGAAACCCTTTCAGAAGAATAGAAGAGGAGAGAACCCTTCCAAACTCATGTTAGGAGACCAGCATGAACCTATAGTTGACAAAGATCTTAAAGGAAAGTAAAATTATAGATCAATTTCCATCAGAAATATAGATACAAAATTCCTTGGGTATCTACCCAGAGGAAAATAAGTCATGATATGAAAAAGTCACTTGTATGTGCATATTTATAGCGGCACAATTCGCAATTGCAAAAATATGAAACTAGCCCAAATGCCCATCAATCAGCGAGTGGATAAAGAAAATGTGGTGTATTTACATCATGGAATACTACTCAGCCATAAAAAGGAATGAAGTAATGGTATCCACAGCAACCTGGATAGAATTGGAGACCATTATTCTAAGAATGGAGAACATCATATGTTCTCACTGATATGTGGGAGCTAAGCTATGAGGATGCAAAGGCATGAGAATGATACAATGGACTTTAGGGACTCAGAGGGGAATGGTGAGACAGGGGCAAGGGATGAAAGATTACACATTGGGTACAGTGTACACTGCTCAGGTGATGGTACACAGAAATCTCAAATCACCACCAAGGAACTTATCCATGTAACCAACCACCACCTGTTCCTCAAAAACTTCAATTAAACAACAACAACAAAAGGGCCGGACACGGTGGCTCACGCCTGTAATCCCAGCACTTTGGGAGGCCAAGGTGGGCAGATCACCTGAGGTTAGGAGTTTGAGACTAGCCTGACCAACATGGAGAAGCCCCATCTCTACTAAAAATACAAAAAAAATTAGCTGGGCGTGGTGGTGCATGCCTGTAATCCCAGCTAGTCGGGAGGCTGAGGCAGGAGAACTGCTTGAACCTGGAGGCAAAGGTTGCAGTGAGCTAAGATTGTGCCATTTTACTCCAGCGTGGGCAACAAGAGTGAAACTCTGTCTCAAAAACCAAACCAAACCAAACCAAACCACAGATGCAACTTTCTTAAACAAAATATTAGCAGATCAAATCCAGCAATATTTTTAAAGGTTAATATATCATGACCAAGTGGGGTTGCAAAATGCAAGGTGAATTTAACATTCAAAATTCAATCAATGTAACAACATATCAGTAGAACAATGGAGAAGAGCAATGATCATCTCGATAGATGCAGAAAAAAGGAACTTCCTCAAATTGATAAAGGGCATTTACAAGAAACCTACAACAAGCATCATACTTAATGGTGAAAGACTAATTGCCTTCCCCCTAAGAATGGGAACAAGGCAGGGATATTCACTTTCTCCCTTACTATTAACATTGTACTAGAGATACTAGCCAGGGCAATAGGGGGAAAAAAAGGCATAAAGATTGTACTGGTTCAGCAGAACATGAGGGGCAAAAAAAAGATGATTGTACTGGAAGAGGCAAAGCCGTCTTTATTAGAAGACAGCAAGACCATTTATATAAATCCTAAAGAATCTATTTTAAAAACTAGAATATTTTTCTAGTTTTTTTCTATAAGGTACTGGATACAAGGTCAATATACAATCATTGCATTACTATATTCTAACAGAAAACAACTTGTAAACTTTTAAAATACAGTAACATAAAAGAACACATTCAGTAGAAATAAATTTAATGAATGATATAAAAGAGTGAAAACTCAAAAACATTGCTCAGAGAAAATGTTAAAGACCAAAATAAAAGATATACCATTTTCATGGACTGGGAGATTAAATATTTTAAAGATGTTAGTTATCTCCAAATTGACCTGATAGATTCAATTTAATCCCAATCAAAATGGTAACATAATTTTTAAAAAAGAAGTTGCGAATTTGATTATAATATATATGGAAATGCAAAGTAGAATATTTAAGATAACCTTCAAAAAGAAGATCAAGCCAGGTGGAATGGCTCAAGCTAGAAGCCTGGTATACCTTTATGCTTTACCAAAAAGCTACAGTAATTAAAATAGGGTAGGATTTGACATAAATATAGATAATTAAACCAATGGAACAAAATGTAGGGTCTAGACGCACAAGCATAAAGTCAGTTGACTGTACAAAACAAAAATTCCAAGACAATTCAGTAACGAAAGTCTGCTCAGCAAATGGTGCAGCAACGACTGGATAAATGTATGGAAAAGGGAAGCAGCTCAACACTTATCTCACTACACATAATTTACCTCAAGGTGGCTCACTGACCTAACTGTAAAGCTAGAAGCTCTAGAAACAAGCATATCCTTGCCACCTTGGTGCAAAGATTTTTCTAGAAAGCACACACAAAAGCTAAACACTAAAGAAAAAAATGATAAATTAGACTTTATCAAAATATATCATTAAGGAAAAAAGAAAATATTTGCAATACTGTATCTGACAAATAATTTTTATCCAAAATATATAAAGAGTTTTTACAAATCAATAACAAGATGAACAACTCAATTTAAAAATGGGCAAACAAATGGCTCATACCTGTAATCCCAGAACTTTGGGAGGCCGAGCAAGGCAGGAGGACTGCTTGAGCCCAGGAGTTCAAGACCAGCCCAGGCAACATAGGGAAACCCTATTTCTACAAAAAAAAAAAAAAAAAAAAAAAGCAGGGCATGGTGGTGTGCACCTTCAGTCCCAGCTACTCAGGAGGCTGAGGCAGGAAGATGGCCAGAGCCCAGGATGCTTCAGTGAGCCATGATCAAGCTTAGGCACTCCAGCCTGGGTAACAGAGGGAGACCCTGTCTCAAAGAAAAAAAAAGAAAAAAGAAAAGTCATACCCTAGAATGCTAACAGCTACTAAAGAATGCAGTTGGTCTACATGCAGGAACAAGGAAAGTTTAAGATATTTTGCTAAACAATAAAAAATGTAGATTGCAAAACTCTGCATAGTGGTCCAAATTTCATTAAAAAAAAAAAAATTAACAGTAGTGTGGAGACAAACAAAGATGCCTGTAATCCCAGCACTTTGGGAGACCAAGTGTTGAGGCAAGCTGATCATTTGAGGTCAGGAGTTCGAGCCCAGCCTGGCCAAAATAGTGAAACCCCATCTCTACTAAACGTACAAAAATTAGCCGGGTGCAGGCGCCAGTAATCCCAGCTACTTGGGAGGCTGAGGCGGGAGAATCGCTTGAACCTGGGAAGCGGAGGTTGCTGTCACCTGAGATTGTACCATTGCTCTCCAGCCTGGGCGACAAAGTGAGACACCGTCTCAAAAACAAACAAACAAACAAACATACACACACAAACAAAAAGACTGCGGGTTGGGAGGCCTGGGGCACCGATTCTCTGTCTTGGCGACTTCTTCTTGCCCTGTGATGGCCGTTGGGCACACAGGGCTCATCCTTGGTGAGCATCCTGGGGAAAGGCCAGGAAAGGGGCGCAGCGCCGGGCGTCCGCTCCTAGCCTGGTCGCTCGGGGGCGTGTTGGCGGGGTGCAGGTCTGGTGCTCGCTCAGGCGGGCCGGGCACCCGCGCCGGGTGAGGCAGCTAGGGGGAGCGGAGAAACACACGCCCCTGGCCCCTGCCCCGACGTCATGGCTGCCCACGACCCGGGGGCGGGGGTCCTCGTGGGGTGCCTATTCCACCTCCCTGCCCACAGGCACTGGGCCCCGGGCGGCCACAGGGGTGCGGGGCTCCCGGTGTCTCGGGCTCCCACTGCTCCAGGCCCGCCCCGGCGGGGAGCGTCTCCGTGGCCACAGTGGTGCGGTGGCCGGGCGTCCCCTGCAGGAAGCTGTTCTCGCTGGCTGCCTCCTCCACCTGGGGGAGAAGCGCCTGGATTTTGGGTCCTGCCGCCCTCCGCGGCCGTGAGCCTCCACCTGTGTTCCCAAAGCCCAGCTCCATTTCTGGGGGCGCGGGGCGTGCCATGGTGGGCGGAGGCTTCCGCGGCCCCTCCCTGCCAGGGACGGTGGGGCGGGATAGGGCGCGGCTGCGCTTACCGGGAGGACAACAGGGGACGCCGTGGGCTCTCATCAGCCACGGCGTCGGGCAGGGTCCCGGGCAAAGTCCCAGAGGGCAAGCGGAGTCCCAGAGGGCAAATGGGGTCTTGGCTGCGGAGTCTGGGCGGCCTTGGCTCTCCGCCCCACTCCCATCTGGCCGAAGGACGGCGGCCATCCCTTTAGTCCCCACGACAGGGCGATCAGCCTGCGTTTTGCAGCAGGGCGCCCAGGTAACAGCGCCAGAGTGGCCCAGTTGGGACTTGTCCCCAGGTCCGGAGGCTCCTGGCTTCCGTGGGCCCCCAACTGCACAGGTCCCATCCAGGAGCCCTGGGGTGACACCCCCCAACTATCAAAGTCCCTCCTCCCTTTCTCCCTAGCCTAAGCAGATCCCTTCTACCCCACACCCCCCGCCCTGCTGGGACCCCTTCCATGCCCCACAAATCAGAAGAGCCATTGAAGACAACTCGCTTCCGGATTCAAACCCCAGCTGCCGGGTAACCTGGGGCAAGTCCCCTCCCTTTCATTTCCTTCACTGCCAACTGCCAGCCACAACCCTCAGTGAGGTGCCAGGGGACAGAGATGACTCACTCTGCCTGTAGGAAGGTCAATGGAGCGCTCTTCCGGCCGCCCCAGGACCCCGTTATGTCCCCTGGGGTGCCAAAGCCAGACGCACACACCGGGCGCCCCGTCCTCAGCCCAGCATGGCCACTCCTGCTGGCAGCAACAGCAAACAGGCTGCCTCCTTACCACACTGGCTTCAGAGACAGTCAGGAACCCTCAGCAGAGGTAGACCGCGGGCCCCATCCTGACTCCACCAGAACAGGCCTGCAGAAGGCCTAGGCCTCAACCCTGCCTGAGCCAAGACCCCTCATACCTCCAGGCACAAGGGGCACCCATGGAGGGGCTACGGCTGAGGGGGCCTGTGCGTGGGTTGCAGGGACAGGCCCCACGTTTGTGAGCTGACAGGGTCTCTGGGGAACAAATGCTGTCATACTTGGGCCCGGCTCCTCTCTGCAGGCCTCAGCCTACTAGACCCACTAGGCTCCAGGAAGGCAGAAGGCAGGAGACCATAGGGAAGTGACAGACACACCCACATCATCATGTCAGAGGGAAAAAGTTTATTGAGTCAGCCACAGAGGAACAGAGAAACAGACGCAAGGAGGTTCTCTGAGCATGGAAGAAATCAGGGCACCGCACAGCTGAACCCTGTGCAGGACAGAGGGGCGTGGACAGCAGCGCATGCCACAAACATTCACCTGGCAAAGAAACAGAGCAGAACCCAAGGGCTCTGTGTACACACAGACACAAACATGAGGCCACTGTCACCCAACTAATAGAAAAGAGTCGAGTGATACGACCCTTCCTTACGACCTCCTCATAAAATGTAACATTATGTGTTTAACACACACTTATACCATTGCTAAATCAGCAAGAGCTATTATAGTGCTCCAACTTAATAAGTTGATAAAAAGCTGTCCTGTGGCCAGTTCACAATGGAACTAAATAGTTTCATTCCGAGATGCCTGGGGAGTTCCTCTGGCAACGAGGCATTTCCAACAAACGGGTCGTTCTGTCACCAGGGGCTGGTTTCAGTCCACGGTGCCCCTGCGACGTGCCCCTGGCAGCCCTGTGGAGGGCAAGGGGATGCCGCTGGGAGGGGTGCTCCGTCCTCCTGGAGGCCCCAAGGAGGGGCTGGTCAAGGGGCCACCTTGAGGTTTGGGGGATCTGGCCGGAGAGTGATGGCTGGCTTTGCCTGAGGAGGTGACAAGAACTTTAGGCTGGGTCCCCAACATGCTGTGTGCACGGGCCTCTTCAACCCGGAACTGAACTGACACCTCTCCCAGGTGAAGGGCAGAACCCCCTCCCAGGAGCTCTCGGAAGCGGGGGTCCCTCACGACAGGCCTGTGGTAGCAGGCTTGGAGGCAGGGAGCTGGTGTCTCTCAGAAGCAGCATGTGCTGGTGGGAGGCGGAGGGACAGATGAGGCCGATTCCGCAGCAGCAGTCCCTCGCACGCTGTGTGGTGGCTAAAGCTGGACCAAAGTTGAGGCAGAAGCGAAACAGCGTGGGAAAAGGTGTCCATCTTTTCTGAAGTCGGTTAATGTCTAGTGTGGACAGCAGCAGTATTTGGTGTTTTACAAACTGGGTCTCTAATAGGGGCCGCCATTGCTGGTGGCTGCACGAACCATTAGCCATAGAAAGGAAGAGTTGGTATCTTTGAGTATTTTTCAAACGATCACCTGAACATCACCGCCCCAGAGGTGGGAGAGCCGAGGGCAGCCCGCAGCACCCCTTCCACCCCTCTTGTTGCTGCAAGGACGGCTTCCTGTTCAGCTCTGGGGTTCTAGATGGTCACAGACCAAGTCCTCCACACCTGGGGCCTTCAGGAAACACTCCTGAGAGCTGCTGGAAGCCACTAACCATCTGAGGAGGGCTCAGCGGCCCTGCCTCCCCCCAGGGGACAGGACTGGACGGAGTGCTTCTCCCAGGGGCGTGAAGTTTTCAAGGACAGGTATCCAAGAGACAGCACACGGCGCTGGCATGTTCAGTGGCAGGTCGGATGATTCCAGCTAAGACGCCTGCCTGGGAGTGAGAAAAACAACACTCCAAAGCTAGCTCTTCAGCTGCCAGGGACGTCATGATGCCAGTCTGTCGACAGACCTGGGAAAGGGGTCACAGGAAGACCGGCCCAGCTGGGAGCTCACAGCCTCTGCTCCTTCCCACCAGCTCGCATTTCGGCACCTGGAAACTTCTGCCGTGTGTTAAGGGGAAGCTCGTTAAAAGATTTTTTACTTAGCTGACTTGTATAGGGAACAAAACCACCACAAACGAGACCAACGTTCTCCTAGTTTGGTAACCGATCTGTGCGCATCGCACAAGACTCGACGCACCAACACCCTGCCTGACACTCCAGCCAGCGCGCAGAGGCACCTGGGACACCAGCCTGCACAGCCCAAACCCCAAGGGTGCCATGAGCCATACTCCAGCTGCGTCCTCAGCACTGGATAGCTGGCCACCTTCCCCAAGTGGCACCTGCACGGCCTCCTCTTCCTCTGGGGCAAGGCTGCCAGCCAGAGCACCTCCCCTTTGACATTGACCAGTGTCCCCAGCCCCGCCTTGGTACTGCATCTATCTGAGGTACAAGGTTAGAAGCCACAGACACCTGAGCGGCAGCCTGACCAACACAAGCTGCGGGCACAATGGCGCGTTGCGGACAAGACAGCCAGCCCACCTGCCCTTCTCGGCTTCCCTTAAGACACAAGGTGACGACACGGACAGGTTCAAGTGAGTGCAATCTGGAAATAATCTCAGTGCAAGGGAGGGGCTGAGGCTAAAGGATGCGGCGATCTGGTCCTCGCTGTGACCAGGCCGGGCCCACACGCACTGCGAGGGCCGTGGTCACCCGTGCCTGCCTCCCAGGAAGGCAGCTCCAGAAACCGACACTACTGACCCCGGACCCCAGCCCCCGCGGTGCCCACATTTGTGGTCCGCACACTGACCTGCACACTAAGGAGGGCTTTGCTTGCAAACACCTGAAGGGCTGATAACTTGACGAGTCTACAAAGTGTGCGGCCACTGACTCCTGTCACCGAGGAGCACCTGACAGTCACGCCTGTCCCTGGCTGGCCCCGGCTTCCGGCGCGTTCATACTCTGGCAGCGACTGTGGCAAGGTCATGCGCAGGGCACTGAATGGCCTTTGTTATCCTTACTTCAGATTAGCCGAGGCTGGGATCTCAAGGGTTCACACACTGTTCAGACGGGGGCTGCGAAGCCCCTCTTCCTCCTCAAACTCAAGTCGCAGCCAGGCCCTGAGATTTCTGCACTCCCAGCTGGCGAGGAATCGGCTTTGGTGAGCCCTGGAGCCGGTCCCTGGGCCTTCAGATGAGGGTGGGAAGCCTTGGGCAAGGGGCGGCCCCCGGCTGAACCCATGTTTGGTGTGGTTTGGGTCGGATCTTGACTCGGGTCAGGCCGCTGCCACCCATGTCTGCTGCTCTCTTGCCGCCATCTGTTTTACAGTCGTCAGGATGAGAAGCTGGAGAAACCAGCTACGACGGGGGCTGCGCCTCGAGGTCCTGACAAGCACAGCCAGGTCTGAGAGAGGGGACCTACAGTCTTAAAGCCACTAGAGGATCAAGTTGCATAGAGTGAGCTGCCACAGACGCCCGGCCGAGGTGAGGAAGCCAGGGGTGCCGTCCCCCAGAGAAGAAGGGCCAGAGTGCCCAGCCCACGGGGCTCCCGCTGGCCGGAGGGCTCGCAGCAAAGCTGGCAGCACTTTCAGTAGTCGGACTCGCCCTGTGCAAGCACGAGATTCACAAGGCCATTCTCAAGTTTCCACACACACAGAAAATGTTCCTGAAGTCAGTCCTCTGCGATCCGGGGACACCGTGGCCTGGCGGACACACCACGTGTGAGCAGGCGCCCAACTGCCACCCGGACACAAACACACAATCTACAAAGTGCCACCAGCGGCAGGAGACATGGCAAGACCAGAGGCCCATCAAGTACATTAAACAGTCGTTCCTCTAAATACACAGAAAATTCAAGTAATTTATTCCAAAACTGCTTTAGCTTCATCTTGAAATATATATATATGTGTGTGTATATATATATTTGCTCTAGAATGATTATATTGCAGCATGATTCTCATGCATTTCAAAGTACTTTATTTAAAAAACCACTTGAGGCAGCAAAAGTATTACAATTGTCTGACTTTATCCGTGTGATGTGCGGGGCCTCTGTCTCCTGATCTCAGTAAGCTTACACTGACCGTTTCAAATCAGAAGAGCAGAAACGGCTTAGTTCTAAAGAGACTGTGGTTTGGAAAACATTTCCAAATAGCTGCAGTACTTGCTCGAGTTTTGCTTATTTGCTGAAACCAGAACGACTGTGCGGAACCCTCCAGTGACACGGGCCTTCGCTGTCCCAGACGTCCGCTTCCCTTTGCACCTGTCCTGATTCCAGCGTCGAACAGGTGAGCAGGCGAGGAAGGCATGGAGTTCTGACAGGTTCCAGCACGCATGTCCCCTTCACAAGCGGGGAGGCCCTCGCACATCCACACGCCCGAGGTAGCCTTACGGCGGGGGAGGCAGGGCCCACCGGGAGCTCTGCTCTCAGGAATCCCCAGCAAATGGTTTAGAGACGCATCAAAGTGCAGTGAAAGTCAACGTTTCCTTCCCCGATGTTGGGAGGGGTCGGGAGGGGCAACCTGGTCTCCTAAGAGAGTCCTTCAGATGGGACCAGCGGCGTCCCGTGGCTGGGCGCAGACACTCACGCGCACACGCAGGAGCCCGTCTGGGGCTCACGCTCCGCCCCCAGGTGGTGCCCATCCCATCCCTGGGCACGGTGGCTGGGAGCCGCCCCTGCGAATCACTGCCTTCTGCCCAGGCCTCCCGGACCAGCCTCCTCCCAGCTTTGGTGTGCGGCCGCTGCCCAAGGACAGGGCTGCCCTGGGCACAATGTGTCAAACTCGCTGAGGAAAAGACATGCTGTTCTTCTAAGAAAACCACATTGTGGAAAAGAAAATTTTTTTTCTAAAATAATCATAAGAAAAAGACTCTCCAACAGCTGCGGCACCAGCCAACGTGACGAGACCTGACAGACGTCAATACCTGCAGGCGTCTACAGAGAGGAAATTTGGTAAAAATACTTTAGTCACTGGCTACACTACCATTATCTGAACCATTCAGATAAGACGTAGCAGAGAATGTCAGATTTTGTTTTCAATTGTAATTTTAGAAATGCAAAATCTTATTTTTTCTAAATTGCTTATTGTCTATATAAATGTTTTATATAATTTTAAAACATGCAGAATAATATACCTGCAGAATAAAAGAGCTGAAATTAAAAGATCTTTTTCAATTAAAAAAAATATTTCAAATGATTTTTTTAATTATCGAAAAAGTGGTTAGTGTGGTATTTTTGCCTAGTAGCTCAAACCTACGCTACGACTGCTGAATCGTGGCTATGGGGGCGGAGGGGTTCTGGCCCGCACTGCCGGGTCTGCCACAGCAGCTGCAGGGTTCCGCGGTGTCTCTGCTCCCGCCTGTGGCCTGGCCCCACCACCCGCCCGCCCGCCCTTCCGGTGGAATGTGTGTAAACGGGAGTGTGGCTCAGACCACGGACTCCGTCTCCACCAGTCCCTGCAGGCCCTCCTTCCGCGTGAGCTTTAGCGCGGTGGGCTTTTCGCTGCTCCCACCGGCCCCGCCTTCGCTGGCCAGCTGGGAAGACAGGCCTTTCTGCTCCTCCTTGGCCTCCTCTGACACGTCAGGATAGATCACCAGGAATGTGGCCGTCAGGAAGCCCAGGAAAGAGCCCACAGAGGCCACCATGGGGATGACGCGGACAGTCCCCACTGCGTCGACCACACCCCCGAGAGCGGAGGCCACCAGGATCTGTGAGATGTACACTTGGCAGGACAGGATGGCGCAATCTATGCCAAACCCTCGCTTGGAGTTCCCGGGGCTGTGGTGGACATACTGCAAGAGAGGAAACAAGGCGGTGAGTGGCTGGAGAAGGCACTTCAAAACTGTGAATATTAACCCAGAAGCCTGGAAACACGACCTGTCTTCCACCGAGTCTCTTGGCAACCACTCCTGCCTGAGCACCCTCAGCCCCCAACTCCTGCCCAGCACTGCAGGCGGGAGAGGTGGGAAGTTCTAGCTCAAGGAGAGGGCAGGCGTGGAAGCAACTCTGTCAATCCAGTCGGGACGTGGGCTTCCCAGGAACCTGGCCTCGAGTCTGAAGGAGAGGTGGCAGGGCCACGCTCCACCAGGCAGGCTCCCCCTCGCCCTGGTGGTCTCCAGCAGGGGCTGAGGGGAGAGGGGTCCCATGAGCCCAGGTTGATGCCTCCCAAAGTATAACTGCAGGTGGCCACGTGCAACAGAGGCCAGACCCACGGAAAGAGTGAGCAGTTTCACTTGTGTTTCTTGCACAAACATACAAAAGAAAGCTGCTGTACATCTATTACTACCATTAGACAGCATCTCCGCAAAGACTTTTTCCTAGAGATAGTGGAAAAAAAGGTCAGTCTATTAAGAAGCTAAAACAACTTTTAAAGCAGCTCTGAATGTGTGTACCATAATCACAGTGAGAGACTGTAATATACCTTTCATAAAACAGACAAAAGCAATAAGAGGAGAGAAGAGCTAAGCAATGTCAAGGTTGACCTCACTGACAGAGACGGGGCACTAGATGCAGGACCCACATTCTTTCCAAGCGCACATGGAACATTTACCAACATGCGTGATGTGCTGGGCCGCAAAGGAAGCCTCAGCTAACTGTAAGGCTGCAGTCACATGGGGTATATTCTCTAGCCATTAAGGAATCACACTGGAAATCAGTAACAACACGACAACTGGAAAAAGCCCAAATGTCAGAAATCCATCTATGTCCTTCTAAATAATTCATGGTTCAAAATAGAAATCACAATGAAAATTATAAAAATCTTTTAAAAGTAAACACAACATTAAAACCTGCACGGTGCAGCTAAAGGTGTGTGTAGAGGAAAACTGACCTTAAATGCAAATATTAGGCTGGAAATCAGAGTAAGAAATGAGCAACAGCAAATTAAACCAAGACATAACGGAAGGCAGGAGACAGCAAAGGGTGGCAATGAATGCACAAGCACGCGGACACGCGGCAGGGAGGACTGAGACACCAAAGGTGCTTTGAAACACAGATAAAATCAATAAAGTCTCAGATAACTAATACAGGAGGAAAAAGGTGTTATCACTATAGGTTCCATCACATTAGATTATAAGAAAACAATTCAATGCTAATAATTCTGAAAGTGCAGATGAAATGGACGCATTCTCAGAAAAACACAAATAAAGCATCATACTTCTGGGCTGGGCACAGTGGCTTCCACCTGTAATCCCAACACGTTAGGAGGCCGAGACGGCTGGATCTACCATGAGTCGGAGTTTCGAGACCAGGCCTGGGCCAACATGGTGAAAACTCGTCTCTACTAAAAATACAAAATAGACGGGTATAGTGGCAGCCCGCTGGTAATTCCAGCTACTCAGGAGCGAAGTAGCTGGGAGGCGGAGTTGCAGTGAGCCGAGAACACACACTGCACTCCAGCCTGGGTGACGAGCAAGACTCCTATTCAAAAAAAAAAAAAAGCATCATACTTCCTAGTAAGATATTAAATATTCCCCTGTTGGGTTTGAAAGAGCAAACACCACTTCTATGTATTTAGTATTGGAGGTTCCTGCCATTCCAAGAAGGCAAGGAAAATAAGTAACAGGTATGAAGGATCAGGAAGGAGAAAACAGCGCTCATTAGACACAGATGATGTGGCTGTGTAAGTAGACGGCCCGAAGAATCTCCAGATGCACTGAGGATTAATAATAGAAGGGTATGTCACACTTAGGGATAGGAAGTTCCATACTACAAAGTCATTCACTCTCCCAAATTGACCCATATAATGTGTTTTTAATTTTAAAAGCCCATAAGCTGAGCCTAACATTTAGATGACAAATAAATGGTTAAGAATACCCAAGACGATCTTGAAGAACAAAGTTGAGGGATTTCTACTACCAGTTTTCAGGACTTATTATAAAACTAGTTTGAGACAGTTGACATTTGTCCAAGAATAGACATACTAGCGGAAGAGAAGAAAGCGGAAACACACGCTTACATGGAAGCCCAATTTATGGCAAAGATGGCACTGCACAGAGGGCCGGGGAACAGCACTGCGTCATGACCTGGGCAGACACCCATATGTAGGGAAAAAAATAAAAGTCTTGAATCCCTACCTCAAACCACACACACCACATCTTCTCCAAGGAGACTATCAACCAAGAGCATGGGCACAACAGGAGGTGTTCATGGCAAGGGACATTCCTGCAGTGCTACCTGCAACAGCCCCAACCTGGAAGCACCCAAAGGTCCACAAAGCAGGGTGCATCTGGCCACACACTGTGACATGAAAAGGCTGGCCATGCTGCCGCCAGCAAGCAAGTGAGTGAATCCCAGAGGAAGAAGCCAGATGTTTCAGCTGCATAAAGTCCAGAAAGAGGCAAGAGTCTGCCTGTGCTGTGGCTACTGGGCATTTGAGATAAAGCTCGTCTCATCTGTGATGTGCTCTGATGTAACATACACCCAATTTCAACGATTAGCAAGAGTGTAAGGTATCGCAATGACTTTTTTCGTGAGTACGTTGAAATAATGTTTTAGATACACCAGGTTAGATAAAATATGCTATGAAAATGGTTTTCACTGGCCTTTTCACTTTCTAAATGTGGCTACCAGGAAGTATAGGCATACCTGGGTGGTTTTTCTCCCATCCAAGTGGACAAGGCTGGGCTGGAGCTTCCCTCTCGGGGAAACGTGATTGGGCCTGAGGGAACCAAAGGGGCAGGGACATGCTTTTGCCTCCAGAAGCCTCTGGGAGGTGCTAGGGGGTGGGAGTGGCTGAAGGAAAAGACCCTTTGTGGCCAGGGACCAACCAGGGGCAGGTGGTGGCTCTGTGGGCTTTGGAAGGGGCCATCTCAGAACTGGAGAGGGAGGAGGGCCATCTGTGTCATGAAGCACAGGGCTCTGCTCTGTGTGGAGGGAAGGTGCTCAGGAGGCTGGAGCGCAGCTCTCATGGCTACAGTGGGACGCACCTGCTTGATGTCGTGGTACTGGCCCAGCAGGGCATAAGGGCAGTAGGAGATGCTCATGGAGACGATGCCCATGGTGCTGATGGTGACCATGGCGACGTAGACGTTGGGAAACATGGCCATCACGGCTGTGCCGACGGAGAAGCCCAGCGTCCCCAGCACGTAGATCACCCTGACGCTCAGGTCGTAGTTGTCCAAGTACTTCTGTAACAGGGCTGCAGAGAGGGGAACAGGGACAGGGACAGTAGGCAGGTGGCTGGCTCCTGTCAGGCTCCCTCCACCATCCCTCCCTTCACCCCCCACATTCCCCCCAACCTCCACTCATTCCAGCTGAACCCAAACCCGCTCAGGCAGGCACAGCCAGCACAGGCCTCCGGCACCTGCTTGTAAGCTCACGGGCCCGCCGGGATGCCCAGTGGCTCCAGCACCACAGACAGAAGTCGGCCCTCCTTGTCCCAGACCTCATAACCCGGCCCTTCCTGCAGCTCCCAGGGACCTTCCTGCCCTGCCAGGCCAATCTGGTCCACTCAGGGCCTTCTCCGGCTGTACACCTGGGACTATTTCTTCTCCTGATGTGGGCAGCAGTGGACAGTCCTGCCTTGGGAACACGCATTTTTGCTGTTTTTTCTCATGGGCACCGCTCTGTTCTTCCCTCACCCTTCCTGACCCGGCGGCTCAGATGTCACCTCCTCTGGGAAAGTGCTCTGCTGAGAATTCCTCTGTTCAAGTAGTGGCAACGCCGTTTACCATTGCGCTGGTTGCCACTGACCAAGAGGCATTTACTTCGGCCATCCTCACATCCAGCTGAGGCTGAAATGAAGCTGGCCTTCCCATGTTCAGAGTCCAGGCGGGCCAGCCCGATTGGTACTCGGCTCAGAGACCCCCGACCCAATTACCCCTGGTTCCTGGTGAGCCTCGCTGCAGGACGGAAGCCTGCCACCCCAGCCCCATCCCTCAGCGTGAAACATGCCTGGGCCCTGCTCCACCACCGCTCTGATCGCCAGGCCTCCATCCAGCTCTGTGCTGGGGCCAGGGACAGCGTGTCAGGAGGCGCCATTGACATGGGACGGCATCATGGGACCGCACAAGCAGGACAGGCCCCAAAGGGGTCTCAAAACACACTGCTCCTGGTGCCAGCCCACAGCGGCCTTTTTCCCTAAAATGAGGAAATGGGAATTTCGATGCTTCTCCCCAAGGGACTGTCCTGTTCTGAGGGACCCAGAAATCAGGGTGTGGCTGATGGCCCCAGCTTCTAAGATGCAGGATTCTCTTGTCCGCATTTCTAATCGCTGAGAGTTTTCTGGGGTGCGAGTGCTGACCTGACTTGGGGAGCTCTTACCTGAACAAATAGCACCAGTGGCGGCATAAATGACCAAGCCCCAGCAGCCCATCTTGACCCCGGCGTTGTAGGCTTGCCAGGTGGTTGAGTTCGAGGAGGCCTGTTCCGGAAATGAGACGGGCTGACGAGGGCATCTGCTAGGCCCTCCAGGCCCAGGAGCGTATTTCCCATGGGAACTGCTGGCCGGCTGCTCATTCTAAGAGCGGTGACGGGAAAGTCCCATCCAGGAGGAGAGCCCACCCCAAGTCGGTTGCTATCTGTAAAGCATTTCCATGCCTCCCAGACCGCGAATGGTCTGTGATGTGACACTCTGCCGCTGCAGCGAGAGGCGCAGTGTTCTGTGCGCTCCCCTGTCCCCAGTCTGGACTGGTCTGGATTTGCAAAAGTGACACTCCCGCAGCCTCTGCCATAGCCCTTGGAGCCACTGCATGGAGCAGCTCAGACTGGACCCAGGAATAGAGGGACCGTATGGAGACAGGAGGCCCGAGCACGTGCTGAGGGCACCTTGGTTCTCCTGGCAAACGCAGCCACAGGTGTGACCCAGCCGTTACCACAGGGACCAGAAGAGCCGCCAATGAGCCTGGCATGGGCGACAGCAGGCCATTATCTTAGCTGCGTTTTGGGGTAGTCTGACACACAGTAACAGACACCCCGTTCACACCAGAATCAACATTCACGACTGCTCACCACGGGCCTCACTGCAACCCACCCCGTGACCCCAGGATGGCCCCCACCAAGTTCCCAGAGGAGAGTGTGGGCTAGCTGCCGGCCGTGGGTCCCTCACCTGCACAGGAGGCACCCTGCGGCCTCCCTGACATGCGTGGGCACAAGGAAGAGGCCTCCCGGCCTAGCCCGTGAGCTTCTCAGTGACCTGCAGGTGGGCAGAGAGGGCAGCCCCGCTCCGGTGGCTGAGCACTCACCTTGGGGTCGCCTTCGAAGATGACCTGGCCCATGAAGTCGGTGTAGAACACGGCCTCGGCGATGACGGAGAACCAGGTGAGGAGGTGGCAGAGGCACAGCCGCATCAGCTCCCTGGGCATCTTCAGCATGGAGAGCCACAGCAGGCGCACGGTGGTCTCGCCCTCCCCCTCCTCACTCTCGGTGTCCCCGCTGGAGGTGGTGGCCCCGCTCTGGTTCCGGTGCCGGTGCCGTTGCCGCTGCCGCTTCTGCATGTCATACAGGTCGCTCATGCTGCGCGACGGCTTGATCAGCACCACCGCGTTGGCTCGCCGGTAGCGGTAGCAGTGGGACCCGAGCTTGCCGTAGTAGGAGAAGGTGCTGGAGGCCTGCTTGCGGAACGCATGCCGCCGCCGCCGCACGGAGCCCGACGTGGCCAAGGGCTTCATGTCCACCCTGCTGTAGCCGCCGAGGGCATCCTTTGTGGGGGAGCCGCTTCCGTTGGGGACTTTGGCTTCATTCAAGTGATTATCCAGCAAAGTCTCGTCCTCCTTGGCGGCTTCCTTGAGGAAGGTGACCAGGCGGGGCAGCTTGGTCTTGGAGAGCTCCTGGCTGGTGCTGCTGGGGGTGGCAGGGTAGGAGGCGTCGTGGAAGATGGAGGGCTCGATGCCGTGCAGGAAGAGCAGCTCGGGCTCCAGGTCCAGTGCGGGGTCCGGCACGTGCAACGCTGAGTCACTCTTGCTGCGCACGATGTCCACGTCCAGGTAGTCCAGGGCCAGCTCGTGCTCCGACTGCACCTCGTCCGGGAAGGCAGGGATGCTGTGCAGCTCGCCCTCGTCCAGGGCGCCGGGCTCCTCAGTGCTGCGCTCCTGCTGTGGGCTGTACTGCTCCTCTTCGATGCTGAACAGGTGCAGGGCCACGGACACCGTGAAGATGATGGCGGCGAAGAAGAAGAGCACCTGGTTCTGGGTCCGAAACCAGCTGCCCAGGAAGGTCTGGGTCCAGTCCAGCCCACCCAGCACGTAGCCGATGGCCCCGCCGAGGCCTGCGTGGGAGGAAGCAGCAGCCAGTGAGCCGGTGGCACCAGGCCACGGGGGGAAAGCTCTGGGAGGGCCTCTCCCTCTAACAGGGGGCCAGGGATGCCCTCATGATAGGAGTCAGGGGATGGAGAAGGAGAAAGCAGTAGGAAAAACAAAATAAGAAACTGCAGCTGCCCCTGGGTCTGAGAATTCCGACCCAACAGAACTGCCGCTTGATCAGTGAAGGGCAGACTACCCCCGGGCAGACACAAGTGGACGCCTCTCTGCACTGATGGGCATTCCCTCTGCATCAGGAGCCGGCCACGTTCACCTTGGGTGGGAGCACACCCTGCTGGAGGGCGATGTCAGGGCAGGGCCGGGAGGTTCACTGTGCAAGCATGCACATCACTCCCTGCAGACCTGGCCTCCTGCCCCTTGAGGCTCCTCAGTGCTTCGGCCCTCCTGTGCTCAGTGGTCAGGAGGGGCTGCCCCTGGTTACCTTCCAGTCCTGAGACCCTGCCCACTGCTTCAACCCTCCATGCAGCCTGATGAGGCAGCGCTGACAACACAGGCTCCCGTCCCCTCCCCACACCAGGTCCAGGCATGTTGGAGCCCAGCCACACTGGCTCGGTGCAGGAGCGTTACCGGCAGAGAAGGCGTGGATGTTGAGGGCCATGTCCTGCTCCTCACTGTCCACCACGTCCAGCAGATAGGCGCGGATGGGCCCCTCAGTGGCATCGGCGCTGAAGTCCAGGACCACCACCCCCAGCACCGTGAGCACGATGCCGATGGGCTGCCGGTTGGGGACATCGCCGAGGGCCAGACCTGCGCAGAGCACACGGAAGGGCGGTCAGGTACTCAAGCACTGGCCAGGGTGGGCCTGAGAGCAAACAGCCACATGGAAGGGGCATGCGGAGGGGGCACGGCCGCAAAACCACGCCAGCCTTCCTGCGCAAGACAGAGAGAGGCTCTTAGGCACAAAGGCAGTGGAAAGGTGCTGGGCTTTGTTTTACACACTTCTGTGGGTTCCAGGGTTTTTCTCCCCATTCAGTTAGCTGTTTACCGCACCTCCAAGGGTTTACTTGCCCTTGACATTTTTTCAAACAGAAAGGGTTAGAATGGACCTTTCGACCCTGGCCGTCAGAGGACGGCTGCTGTGCTGGAAGCATGAATTCAGTGTTGTTAAGAAGGCCACACATGGTAGAGCAGACGCCCACGGGGAAAAGTGCTCACGCCACAGACAACCCGCAGGGCACACTGACAAGACTTGGCAAGGCAGGCGCAGGGGGTCTTGCTGGGCCTGATCTAGGTCTGAAAGGAAACGATGCCCCAAACTCTGGGGGTTTTGCACACAAACCCTCAGGGCAGCCTGGGTTCAGGAGACGTGGCTCTGCAGAGGAAGGTGCCGGGGCCTCGCCTCACCTACGAGTCCTCCTGCAGTGGGCTGCCGGCACTCAAAAGCAGCTGTCCCCACACATGTCCCTCCTGCCTCAGGGGAGTCTGGCCCTGAATCCAGATCAGTGTTGATGGCTGAGGCTCAACTTGGGCCTCCACTTCCCATCAGGGAGACACGCAGTGCCCTCCTGACAAGATGAGAGGATTGCGGGCCAGGGCCTGGGATCCAGGCCCAAGGTGCTGTGATTAGCCTGAACGCAGATACACCTGCCCCGTCTCGGGAGGCGCGGGAGACGGGCTTTCTGCCCAGGTGGTCCTTGCTGGCCTCCTCAGACCACGGGCAGGTGACGGCTCCGAAGCAGAGGGGCTGGGGCTCCCAAGCTGGCTGCCTCTGGGTCACATTTGGGCAGGACCACCCCCAAGGACACAGCCCTGGGAAGCCACGTTGTTCCCCCCGCATCTCGGTCATGGTGGGGAGGGGAGGGCTACTCCTGAGCGACACAGACAGGCAGGGGGCCGGCAGCTCCGCGCCCAGCAGGCGCCAGGGCAGCCGCACCCCTGCACACAATCAGAGGCATCGCCTGTTGGCGACAAAGCCCACCCCACGGCCAGTGACCACTCGGGCTCTGAGAAGCGTCCCAGGGCCTCTCCTCCTGCCGCTCAACTTCCTCAGCTCCCTCTGCATCAGTGCAGACCCAGGGCAAGTTCCTCTAGTTCAGAAGACAGATTAAGCTCCTCTGTCTCAAAAAGCTGTTGCCAGAAAAATGTTTTTAACAGTTTTTGATGGGTGCCCTCAAGGCAAAAACTATTTTCCCACACAGAGGTGCTTTAATTCAAAAGGAAACAACAACCAAGAAGGCAAAACACAAACATCAAACCAGGTTCTGGACATTTTAACACCAAGTCGAAGAAAAGGAGAACAAAAAAAGAAAAGATAATTTCTGAAAGAATGCTGGAAACAGGACGTGGTGTCAGATACGCATTAAAAACAAATGATCACAACAGGAAGCGTTTCCCTGTGAACAGGTTCCTCCAGCTTTCCCACATGGGGCCGGCTTCAGCGCTACCACGGGTGATTACCGCCAGGGCGGCCTCGGCTGCCCAGCCAGGCCCACAGAGGGTCAGCCTGAATATTCAACACCATTCAGCTTTTACTGAGTGGAGCTACCCAGGGCCAGGCCCTCGTCTGTGTTGTGAGGACGCCAGGTGTGGCCGAGAAACTTACCGATGGCAGAGCCGTTAAGGAAAAGTGCAACGCCAAAGAGGACACCAACGCAGAGGGCGAGGATGAAAGGCCGCCGGCGGCCCCAGCTCAGGGTGCACCGGTCACTCGCAGACCCAATGAGAGGTGTGAAGATGAGGCCAAGGATGGGGCTCAGGAACCAGGTGAGGCTGTAGTACTGCTCCGGAAGGCCTGCAAGGGACACGAGGGCCGTCGCACACGCAGGCACTGGCCGGGCTCTGCCACAGTCTGCCTGGGAGCCCCGCGACAGGCAGGTGCCTCTGTGTACATGCACGCATGCGCACACCCCCCACTCAGGTTGTCTCCACGGAGTAGACTTCCCTTTTTCTGCAAGGCCAGATAATCTGAAATCAATCCAGCCCCAACTATAAGCATCAGGTGGCCAGAGAAAAGCACCCAGGCCTTGGAGGGCCAGTGGGCCCCACCTGCACAGGCCCCAGCCTAAGGGGCAGCACACACTGACTGTGCAGGCACATGGAGGGCGCCCCGCCCGGGGCTGGACACAGGGCTGAGAGCCCCTCCACAATGCTGGCGCTGACCAGGGCCTCGGGGCTGCTGAAGGCCACTTTGAGGGTGGCAGGCACAGCGCCGCTGTCCCTTGACACCAGACGGTCTACAAGAGCAGGACGGTGACTGCAGCTTCACAGAGGCAGGAAGGGCCCACGACTTCTGGACCCCATTGGCTGAAAATGTACCACAGAGGGTCCTGCGGAGGGTCCCCACTGCCAGCAAAAGGCTGTTCTGTGTGGCTGCTGAGTGGGGGTGGGGGGATGCACCATAAGTGTGTCCAGCTGGAGCCAAAGGGTTGCAGATGGCACCTATCACGCTCACATTCTCCTTCCTGACCATCCAGGGAGGTAGGAAATACTGTGCCTATTGTAGACAGGGAAACTGAAGCTCAGAGAGGTTAGGTAATCTACCCCAGGTCACACAGCTAGGATTTCAGCCCAGGGTTACCTCATTTCAAACTCTGTCCCTGAGTTTACACACTGCCTCCCTATCACAGAAACCTGTGTGTCCATCGCCAACCAGGCGGGCACGCAATGTCAGCAGTCACAAGCACCACGGCATGGGAACGGGCAGCTGCCTTGTGCAGCCGTGCACACGAGCCCACTCGCAGTGCTGAGCAAAGCCCACACAGATGACCACACACCTCTGACGCCTGTCGTGTGACGTCCAAAGGCGTGGAAAGGACTCTCCACTGTGAGAACTCGGGTGCCGGTTGCCCTCGCAGGGGGCAGTGGCTGAAGAGGGGTGGGCTTCGGGGCCGGGTGTCTGTTCTTGATCTGGATGGGAGTCCCACGCTCCAATCACGTGGTGCCAATTCATCCCGCAGGGGACTTGAGATCTATGCCCTCTCCCCATGCTGTATGTCAGTAAAACGCTTCCTCACAAAATAAAGGTGCTTGGCACACCAGCGGTTCATCTGGTTAACATTTTACACTGCCAAAATCCATTGAGAATATTGTGCTGAACTAGCAAGAAAAATAAGCTTGTGTGGGAGGAGGAAATCATTTTCAGAGGAGGAGGGAAGCACCTTTTAAAATTATTGCTAATGTGTCCACTCAAATATGCGTTCGGCCGAGAATTTAAGGTGTTTGCTTTGACCTTTGCACTGCACACAACTTCAGGAAGGGTGAATTTTATTCCTACTAGAAGTCAGCAGAAAGAACTGATGTTTCGGGAAGCGAGAAGTCTGTGGAGCATGTCCGCTGGATGGGTGAGAGTTTACATGGCAGACGCGGGTTCCTCAGCTTCACTGGAGCCGAGTCCCTGCCCTTGTTAATAATTATCCATCAGGAAGCCTACTTCCCAGAAAAGTCTCTTCATCAAAACTACGCAGAGGGCGCGACACTCAAAACTTCAGAAAGAATGGGAGGCGGTTATTACTCCTACCACATGCAGATTGTACCAATATGTCAGCAAACCCAGCTGGGGCTCCCAAGCTGGCTGCCTCTGGGTCACATTTGGGCAGGACCACCCCCAAGGACACAGCCCTGGGAAGCCACATTGTTCCCCCCGCATCTCGGTCATGGTGGGGAGGGGAGGGCTGCTCCTGAGCGACACAGACAGGCAGGGGGCCCGTGTGCGGCCCTGGCTCCTCTGGATTGGGCTCCCAGAAGGGTTCTGTCTCCTCCAGCAGCACGCTGGTTCTCACCTCCCTGCCTGGGAACCCCTCCTGCTGTCACTTTTCAAACTCCTTGAGAGCCATCCACCCAGAAGGCCCCTGCCCACCCTGGGCACGCCAGGTCCTGCATTTTCCACACAGCACTGAAGCCACCTCAGCCGCCCACTGCGCTCCCGAGAGACCGCTCCCTCCTCTCTCCGCACCACTCACCCCAGTCTGGCACCAGATGGGACCTGTGACCCACAGAGGGCTGGAATGCTAGCTGACCTGAACCAACCCACTTTATCATTTCCAGCAGTCCTCTTTCCTTTCTGAAAACTCTGACTTTTCATCTGATAGCCCTTCTCTTAAGCCTGAAGGATTTTCTGTAGGTTTTTTTTGTTGTTTTTTTTTTTTTTTAGCATTTCTAATAGGAGGGGCTCTGCTGATGACAAATGCTCTTCGATTCTGTCTGAACTCTCTTTATTACACTTTTATTCTTGAAGAATATTTCTGCTGCACACAGAATTCTGGGTTAATTCCTCCCAGCCCAGATCTTTGAAGATGTGATCCACTGTGTTCTGAACCCCGTGGTTTCTGACAGGGCGGCTGTGGTGATTCCCATGAGCGTCCTCTTGTATGTAATGATCTCTTTTCCTCCGGCTGCTTTGAAGATTCTCTTTACTGCTGCTTTTCAGCAGTTGGACAATGACGAGCCTAGATACGGATTTCTGTGCACACATCCTGGCTGGGCTTTCTGGAGCTTCATGAATTTGTAGATTTATACATTTCACCAAGTTTAGAAAACATTCCGTTACGTCTTACTTCAAAGCTGTGGAGTTTTGTTTTGTTTTGTTTTGTTTTTGAGACAGAGTCCTGCTCTGTCACCCAGGCTAGAGTGCCATGGTGCAATCTCGGCTCCCTGCAACCTCCAGCCTCCTGGATTCAAGCAATTCTTGTGCCTCAGCCTCTCGAGCAGCTGGGTACAGGTGTGCACCACACCCGGCGGCTAGATTTTGTATTTTTTGTAGAGACAGGGTTTCGCCATGTTGGCCAGGCTGATTTCAAACTTCTGAGCTCAAGCAATCTGCCCACCTCGGCCTCCTGAAGAGCTGACAGGCTGAGCCACTGTACCTGCCCCTGCAAAGGTTTTACGTTCCATTCTCTAATTCCTTTCTTTTGAGGTTCCCATGACAGACAGATCTTTGAGATCATCCCTCTGTTTCCTGGAGCATTCTTCATTTCTTTTTTCAAGCTTTAATCTCCATATGATCATTTCCATTGACGAATCATTAAGTCCACTGACTCTTCTGTCCTCTCCAATCTGCTGTTAACCCCATCTGGTTCATTTTCTATTTTGATACTTTATTTTTCAGACCTAGAATTTCCACTTGGCTCTTTTTCTGTAGCTACCGTTTCTCTGCTGGGACTCCCTGCTCTCCATTCTGAGCGTGCTTTCTGTTCTTGGGCGCAGTTACACACACCCCTCTGACCAGTGCGACGTGCGACATCGCAGGTCAGCCTCCACTGCTGCCATCCTCCAGCAAGGGTCGCCTTTTCCTTTTAAAAAAAAAATGTCGGCCGGGCGCGGTGGCTCAAGCCTGTAATCCCAGTACTTTGGGAGGCCGAGACGGGCGGATCACGAGGTCAGGAGATCAAGACCAGCCTGGCTAACACGGTGAAACCCCGTCTCTACTAAAACAAAAAACTACGCCGGGCGAGGTGGTGGGCGCCTGTAGTCCCAGCTACTCAGGAGGCTGAGGCAGGAGAATGGCGTGAACCCGGGAGGCGGAGCTTGCAGTGAGCTGAGATCCGGCCACTGCACTCCAGCCTAGGCGACAGAGCAGACCTCCATCTCAAAAAAAAACAAAAAAAAAAAAAAATGTCTAATAACACTGAGTTGTATCCTAGTTGTATCCACTGTGACTGATACGTCACAGACTATACTGTTACATTCCTCTGAGAGTGTCCATGGTTTTATTTAACACGAGGGTTTGAAATTCCCGCCCCATCTCCTAACTCCACCCTAACTCTGCCTGTGGGTTCTTCAAGAAAGGCAGAGTGAAGTTATCCATCCAAGTTTTAGCCACCCTGTGTTGCATCAACAAAGGCCAACAGTCGGGTTAAAAGCGGTGCCAAGTGAGAAACCCAGGCATTCCCTCTTCCAGTTGTCACCTTCCTACTTGGTTTCTGCCCCGAGCGCTGGCTGGGTGTCAGGAGGGCGGGGAGGAGTTGCAGGTGCGACCCAGCCCACCCAATCTAGAGGGGGTGCTGCGTGCACAGGCCTGTCCTGCCTTCGTGCTGCCAGCCCTGAGAGACGGGAAGACGCTGGGTCTGAGCAGCCCTGGACCAGGCAGCCGTCCCCACAAGGGAGGCTTCTCACCCCAGGAGACAAGAGACAGGGCACTGGGGGAACCGCTGGGCCCAGACCAGGCCCTTGGCTCCCAGTCCTCCTGCAGAGGCCGCTTCTCCACCCTTGCCCCACAGGCCCCTCCAGAGCCTGGTGGGACCTGGCCCCAGGTCTTCCTCCACCAGCAAGCCTCTTCCCCTCTGCCCTCAGCTCTGACTCCTATAGCCCCTGCAGCTGACCTGGCCCCTGTGCAGCCCTGGCCCCGGTCTCTCCTGTGTTGCCAGCCCCCAGCCCTAGGTCAGGCCTCCCCATGCCTCTCTCTGACCCCCTACTAACTCACCCCCACACCTGGCTGGCCTGCCTTGGGACCCAGGGCGGCCCCTCAAACTACACAGCTGTCACGGACTGTGCCTAGAAGCCTTTGACTGTTCCTCGTGGCCTGACATCGTGATTTTAACTTTACACCCTGTGGTGTCAGGGGCCGTGTTCCAATCCTCAACAAGACACTGCGGGGCTTCCTTTCTCATCTTTCCCCTCTGCTTAGACAAGCCCAAGTCTGCACGTCGGGACTGGCACTTGGCACATTCTAAGGGGACCAGTGGAAAGGCAGAGCCCACCGTGGCACCACCATCTGTGCCTCCCACCCACGGTGCTCAGTGCTGCAAGAACCACATGGGGCCTCCTGCTGGGGCACTCTCAATGCTGGTGCGCAAG